ATAGTAACTGAGTGAAGATGACAACGTTGAAATTATGTGGGGGGTTTGTATGTGTTCATATGACCTGTGTCAAAATTAAATTGGTGAAACCTACCCTTTGTAGATAATATTGGCCCTAGGAAAGATTATGAACAATAAACACATGAAGCCACAAAATCTTTCACGGGGAGAGACACACACACACACAAAAAAAAAGATGTTGCTCTAAATCTTGAGGGACTGCTTTGGACCTTTTTTAGTGTATTTGTACAAATAATGAATATTTGTTGAAGTGATGCAACCACGGCAGCAGGGTCAAATCAGTATGAAACAAGCTAATCAGAGATGTTTACGACTGTTGCACCGAAAAACACTTTCAATGTCTCTCAAATCCACATGCTTTAACGTTGTTTTTTCTGTGGTGTTGTGATGTAAACAGCTGTATTTGTATTATTGAAAATCATAATCACATTAGTTGTCATTGTGTTTATGTGTGAGGGAGAGTATGAGTTAGGGAGTGAGACTATTCTAGACTGCATAGAGTAGAGCATATTTCTTTTTTATACATTTGAGATCATTTATATGTAGCTATGGAGTATGCAGTGAAACCCACAGAAAGACTGCTGCTATGATTTCTTAATCAAATCAAATGTTTCTGCTGAAGACTATTCACAGGAGGAGTTAATTTTCAGACCACAAACTCTGCCAAACTTGCTTGATTTTCCCTTTATTCTCCTGTTGTCCATGTGATAATGTTATAAGCACATATAGGATAAGTGAAAAACAATAATGTACCCTTGCACATACACAGTTTACCACTCATTTCAGATCTCAGACTTTGTAACTGATTGTTGATCTTGGATGGTGCCTTGTGTTTACCAGCAGTTTAGAATGTCATCTTTGTTCAGCATGTTGGACTTGAATATAGTCATGTTTCTGTATTAGTTTTACACGTGTTTGAGAAATAAAGACGCCAAAACTTTCACCTTTTGCTCTTTGGAAAACTTACTGTATGTGTCATGAGAATATCAATATTGCATTGAATAAAAAAACAGCATATTACGTTGGACCTTTTAGACCCTGTTTTTTATTTTTAATAAAGATAACAGGCTGTTCATTGACAGAAAATCCTCCAATGTCTGTTGTTAGATCCAAATATGTGTACATGGATTTAATCATTTTTCCTTCCCACTAGGTTTTTGCAGCAAATCATAATATGTAGATAATATTAAAATGCTGGTTACTCTTAGCATTAACTATAAACATGAATTAATGATTGAAAACTACCTGGGTGAAGCAGAAGCACAGGGACAGCTTTTTCTATATATGATGGCCTACTTTAATGTCAAAAATAAAGTTAAAAGTAGGTCAAATGATCACAGACAACAAGGTGCACCACATCATGTAGTTCCCTATCTAAATTATGAATGAAATGAAATTATGCAAATTATCAAAATACATACGAAAGAAATGACCTACAGAATACTTTGCTGCAAAAATAAATCCTACAACATGGCCACAGGGGCAACAATGAGTGTGGATTTCTAACTGGGGCACTGGAAGGCCTTTATGTCATAAAGGCTCATGCACATTCAGGAGTAGGCCACCATTTCACGACGGCCAGGAAGAAAATGTGTCCCTCTTGTGGTTGCTTCAAAGCATAGATATAAAAAGAAATAGTTTACAAGAAAGCTACATTTGGAGCAACAAAAGAATTTAGTCTCCACGTGAAGACAGCCTTGTCTTTACAATGTAATTGCACATAGAAATATAACTACATAAAGATTATTTCTGTGACCATTATTATACAGTACCATGGGTATCAGTCTGCCTCTAAACACTTAACATGTTCACACTAAGCAGGATGCTTGTATTGAGCTACATTTGGATTGTACAAACTATACGAAATGCCTTTTTATTCTTACTCTGAGTGCTGAGTGATGCAGTGAGACACGCATTTGCACAGGACTGAGATGCATGCCTCTCTGCGTGCATCTGGTTACTGTACGCTTTAGTTTGATGGGGGATGTCCGAATAGTTTAAAAAAAGTAAATGATTCATAATATCACATCAGAAGTGATGATTCAGGGGATTTCCCTTCCCTCATAGAGTTAATCATTCCTGCCACAGAAATGTTTTAACTATATAGAAGATTTAATGTTATCCAGGATGGACTCAGCTGAAACCATATTAAGTTGTGACATATGTTGGTTTTCATATTGTTATTTTTTTGTCTTGAAGGAACTTCTGTTATCAATTTTTAATTATGTCATATATTTTCCTTTTAGAGGTTACAAATTTGCATAATTCTCTCCCGGTTCTAGCCACTCGCCCTTGCAAGATCCATGTGGAAATGATCGATTTCATTTTGGAGGTCACTCAATTGTATCTGCTCTCCAGTGGATAATATCGATATCGATAATAGATGATTAGTTTAACTCCTGTCTTTCATTCGTCTTTTCTTTTTAACTGCCAGTTTGTAGAGGAATCCTTTAGCACACGAGCTGTTAATGTGTCATTTTCTACAACAAAAAAGAAAAGAAAGAATAATGTTACCTATTTTGGGAGAGTTTCTCCGGCTCCGCGTCGCATTTCCAGGCGATCTGAAACGGTCTCGCGTGTGAACGTGACGTCACCATTGTTTACTTTTACTTAAGCCACGCCCTCTGTTAGCAACTTGTGGCTAGCTCGCTACCAAGGAAGCCACTGCTCCGAGGGTCCATCCACAGACACCACCCCGACTCCGAAGACTGTCCGCCCGCACATAAGTCGGTGAGTAAACGTTAATTCAACAACGCGCCCACACCCGCTTAATGAATACTGAATGTGACGTTAGGTTCATTGTGATTTTGTCGGGTGTTAAAACCGTAGAGACGAGAGAAACGTTTCTTTCAAGCTAGCGTCGGGGCAGGCTGCTAGCTTTTGTTGTACGGTTCACATAAACGCCACCCGCAAGGTTGGTTCGACAACTGTTTCGCAGTCCAGCTAACGTAGGTTATGAAAGACAGCGGATATACAACACTAACATAGTTAACATGCTAACCTATAAACCTCCCGTTTTCTCCCTAGTTAGTGGTTCGAGTCCTCAACGCAAACCTCGGACCGCAGTGATTGCTGTTAACGGATATCGGTGCCATTCATATCGCGTTAAGCTAACTGAATGGTTAATTGCGTTGCTATAACGCTAATCGACGACGTTCATTCAGAATTTTAAGTAAAACGTTTAAAGGTGTTGATGGTGAAATGGTGGGCTGTGTTGTAGAGGTTATAGGTGTACGGTAACTTTGGGTAATATTAGCTTCTTAAAATGTGCCTCGAGTACATTATTGAACGAAAATAATAAGTTTGTACAGTATTGGGTCTGGCCGAGTCAACCCAAGATTTTGAATGATCAGTGATGATGATCAGTTGGACAATGAAGACCAAATAACTGATTGAGTGCATCATAAACTGATAAATCAAATAGGGCTTCCATCCAGTCTAGTTGTAGTTGTAAGTAATATACTTGGATGGGTGATATTAAGTGTTTGTGATCTTTATAAAATGCTGATATTATAATGCCTCACAGCAAAAAAACAAAAAAACAAAATCCAAGTTAATTCTGATAAATGTAATATCCGTATCATTCCTATCCACATGTTATAAGCATATGTAAACCTCACTGATTTAAATATACATTATTTAGCTATTTGCATTGGTATATTGGTGTGTAACAATAAATAAACATACAAACAATATAAAGAAAGATAAAACAGAGATAATGTATACAAAAACAGACATTGTGAACAGTATGACTGTTTATTTGATGATTTAAATGAATTAATGAAGAGCTGTACAGTTTGTCATCGTAGATGTTTTGATGATACCAGATAATAGCTCATGTGTGAGACCACCTGTCAGAAAATATATCCTTGAGGCAGAGGGTGTATATTGTTTACTCTTTCTTAAGGAAAAGGCCTCTTTGCAGTGTTTCCTTTACATCCTTTTGAAGAGTGGTGGCCACCACAGCTGGAGAGTTGCCTCTGTGGTGAGAATACTTTAAATACAGTAAAAAATAATCACAGGCTTATTAAAACAGGCCATCTCAAAAACAGCTGCACTGAAGCACAGCTATTAAGTTATCATAATACAGCACTAGCCACATAATATCTGTCTGTATAAAATAATGCATAATGAAACTGATGCGGACCCAGTAGTCAGTCGGGTTCTTACAACCCGAAGCACCCCTGACATCTTCAAAAATGTCTGAAAGGAAATACTACCCTTTGTCTTCAGAACTAATCTGGATCCTGAAAGCAAAAGTAAACCGAGTGGGAACCTCACCAACAACTGCCTGTTTTTGATTAGATAAGTTTCAGTGTTAGATGAATCAGTTTAAACTAACTAAGTTATGACTTGTCTATGAATGACACATTGCTGCTAGACATAACTAACTACTCAGTATTCATGTATTAGTCATTTTCAAATGCAGGAAACCGTGCCTTTTTCCTTCTTTAATTTGTCTGGAGCTAACTGTTGGTACAGTTTTTGTCATGAGTTTGTCTAGTGCAAGTCTAATCAGATCATCTGTCAGATGTTGCCTAAATGTTGATGTTGGCACCCAGCGATGCCTAACTGATTGATTGATTTCAGTATGTGAATTTTATAGTTGAGTAACTCTGAAAATAATGACATTATTCTCGAGGCTGTGTGCTGTGTGTTTCATTTATGACTTTCTGTGTAGGTTTCCATCTGCTCGCATTATTTGTTTGCCTACTTTATTTACCTTTGTTTATGCTGCTTAACGTTTGACTCAAACACTCCCAAGCTGTATACATAAAAGCCTACTTGTGTATTGTACTACCTGCCACAGCCGTTTATCGCACCACCTGGTTAATGGTAAATTGTTCCAGAAGGAAGATATGTTTGCACATAAACACGGAGCCAGGGCCCCTGTGTTTACAGTAGTCATGGCAGCACTTGGTTATTCAACAAATAGACCTAGCATGTTCTCTCTCACTTGTAGAAGAGAATGTTTGTCTTGGAGGGTAGAGCTTTAACATTGTAGCTCTTAACTTTTAGTGCTGTCACTTAACACAACTTAAGTTTCTTTGACATGCTGCAAGAGTGCATTATTGGATTATTTCAGAGTCTGTTGTTACACTTTTCTCAGAAAATGGACCTCTTATCACCTTCTCAAGTAAAAGCCTTGTCAAACACATCCAAATAAATGGCATTGTGTTTATCTGCACCCTTTATGTTATGATAGTTTTCTGCTTTAGCCTGTTGTTTTCATTTATATTTATTTCCTTTCTCAGTTCAGTGAAGTCCAGATGCATGAGTCTGGGTCAGAACCAACAATCCACGCCATTCCAGCAAGTCAGACAGAGAACGGGAATAATACTGAGAATGAGAGTCGACTGAGGAGCAACCAGACTCCTCCTCCAGAGGCACCCAGGGTCAGTCATATCCAGCTGCATCCATACAACACAGTAGCATCATTTTTTAAAAGCATAGGTTTTTCTGTTGTTGTTGTTGTTGTTGTTTACAAATGTTGTAATATATATGGTGCACAGTCTTTGCATATTCAACAAAAATATGACATGATTACACCAGACATGTATAAAGCTGAAATGGTTTGTCCATTAATTAATTAGTAGATCAACACAAAATTAAGCTACATCTTTTTTGGTAGTTGATACAAACATTTCCAGGCCCCAGCTCTCCGAGTGTGAAGATTTGTAGATTTTCTGTCTCACATGATAGTTATCCTATATATACCTTTGCACTTTGGACTGTTGGTGGGACAAAGCAAGTACTGTCATTAAAGATGTCACTTAGGATTCTTGGAAATTGCGATGGACAATTTTTCAGTATTCTCTCACATTTTATTGACAAAACGAATGATTGGTAAATTAAGAAACTAATCTACAGCTTAATCAATAATGAAAATAATCTTTAGTTTCAGCCCTATTCAAACATACTTCAGGGTTCTAGTACATTTTATAGCTTATTGTTGATATTGTTATTATTTGATATGTCGAGATTGTAACAAATGATTGGTGAAATTGAAAGAACACATAGTCTTGCATAGTCAGGATCTCGGACAGCAAAGTCTTGATTTCAGACAATTTTTGATGTTAAAATTTGGACCCAGTGAGCCATTTGAGACTACCAGCTTCTTAATTGTGACGATTTGCTGCTTTTTTTTTTTGCTTCATGTGATAGTAAACTGAATATCTTTGGTTTTTGGGCTGGACAAAACAAGGACATTTAAGACGTTACTTTGTTTTGTAAAATTGTGATTGACATTTTCTTAGAGCAAACGGTTAATCAAAAAGTGGATTGGCTGATTCATACATTATGAATTGTTTGCTGCAGCCGTGAAGGAATTATGTTGTGTTTGGAAAAGTTTAGTTTTTCCCTTTGGGTGCAGTTACTTTGTTAAAGTACCATACAGCTGCTTAGGGACATGTGTAAATGTTTGTTCTCAATTCTACAAATATGTGTTGAAACTGATGCAGCTGCTTTTACTTCACTAAACTGTGGATCACAATTACATATCCTACATATTAATTTCCTCACCGCTGGTCTGGTATCCAAACATCAAATCTTTTCTTGTCATACATACATACCAGGTAGACGTTGATAACAGACACAGGACTCACAGCTCCCTGCTGTATGAGAATGCGGGGTACTTTGTTTTTTGACATGTAAATGTATCCCTGAACCTCTCACTTTGTGTCTCCAAACTGCAGTGTTTTATATTTATGCTGAGGGGGAGCACAGGGATGGGGGGAGGTTATACTGAGGTTCAGAAGGGGAGGGAGAGCACAACTCCTGGTGGGCGGAGGGATCAGTGGTATATTGTTAGTTTTGTTTATGCTCACATCATTTAGGGTTAGCGAGGTTCTGTTGGATTGTCAGGCAGAGCAGTATTGCTGAGCAGCATTTTTCCTTCAGCAACTAAAGCAGACTTTTCAATGGAGACTAACAGGTTTGTCCAACTCTGTTTGTATTTGTTTCATGAGATTATCACAGGACACTGCTTTTTATCAGGTTTTAAAATGTGTCTCTGTCAATGAAAATGTGTTATTTAAATATTTTTAGATCTCATGCTGTTAAATGTTCAGTGGAGTTTATTACCAAGTGTGTGTGTTTTTACAATTGCCGCTTTTCCTTGTGCCACACCCATTATGATGTTTTAGTAAAATTAAATCTGATAAGTGAAGGCATATTGTGTTTGTTTTTCTGCAAGTTCTCAGTGTTCTTATTTGCTGTCAGTCATCTCAGAGTTCACAAGACCAGTCTTGCGGGAACAGATCTGTGTTTACACTCAGTTGCTCACTGGTATGACTTTCAACAATAACAACAACAGAAGATGTTTGGACTTGCTGGCTACCATGGCAACAGGGATTAGGCAAGGGCTGTTGTTGTGTTGATGGTGTCCACAGAAAAATAGAGGGGCCAACTGGCTCTGTTTGTGGGATAGACCTGTTTTCATTGCTTTGGTGGCCACCTCTGCAGCATTGAATTTCATAAGAAAGGACAAACTAGGAGGCAGTCATCTGTTATTGTTAGCCCAAAGCCTGTGTGAAATTCACTGTCAGTTTGTTTACCCGATTCAAAACAGACTCTGCCTTGGAGAGAAATGTTTGTTTGTGGTTCAGACCTTAATTAAAATACGAATCTCAAGTTCTGTTTTCATAAACATGCTCTGTATGCTTTTTTATTCATTATTTATATCTCTGTGCAATTTTGATTACTCTGTTTATGTTTACTGTAAACATCCCTTGAGCTGCTAGGCTTGACAGTGAGGGGGATGGTATGGTAATTGCTGCATGCCTAGCAGAGGATGTTGTTGTTGTTGTTTTTGTGGTACTGGTTGTTGTTGTTGTTTTGATGGAGAATTCCTCTTAGACATGCCATGCAGTTGTTTTTGTTTGGTTCATTTTTAGCTGAAATGGCAGTAGAGCCAAATTCATCTTGCTAGATCGACCAGTGAACTGAGAATGATAAATAAGCAGTACTGTGAGTAAGTATAAATTATTTTTTGATTTAGAGGCATAGGAGTAGAGTTGCAACCATAAGTTGATTAATTGAATTAATAAAATCAAGCAACAGTTATTTCCATAATGTACTCATCATTTTAGCATTTTTTTAAGCTATGATGTGAGAAATTTCCAGCTTATAAATGTGAGGATTTGATGCTTTCTTTTGTCGTACATGATAGTAAACTGAATGTCTTTTGGTTTCAGACTGTTGCTCAGACAAAACAAAACATTTGAAAGCATCACCTTAGGCTATGGGAAATTATTTTTCACAAAGCAGATAATCGATTAAGCCAGAAAATAATTATCAGATTAATTAATAATGAAAATAATCGCTAGTTGCTGCCCTACATAGGAATAGGTTTGACAGTTTGACATTATACGTGTCTGTGGGGTCCATAAGAAGTCGTTAACAATTTACTGGAGTCAGTATGCTCACTACATTTATAATTACAGGGGAAAATCAGACACAGTGCCGACACTTACACCGATACAATCCAATTCCATGCAAATGTTTTGTACAACACATGTATGGCTGCATTTCTTTTATTACTGTTTTTATATATCTTTCATTTGTTACTTTTGTTCTTTTTAAAAATATTTGACACTTTATGGTGAAGAGGATTTTTTTTCTCTTTAACATCAGAGAACACTGCTTCAGTTAAGTGAGAAAACAGACTGTAGTGAGAAAGCGCATGATTTTTTTCTGTGTGCGTATGTGTTTAATTGCACAAATAACCTACTATTCAGCTGTGGAACTTATTTAGACCTGTTTATTTCAGTTTCAGTTTTAGCAGTACTTTGGATTTAATTATTTTGGATACAAGGATGGATCACTACCAGTAATCTTGGTTGTTTTTCTCCTTCCCCACTGCTGTCACAGTGAAACTTTTGTTTTCTGAAGTTTTTGTCTTGCACAGGTGCTCACTGCTCTTGATAAAAAAAAAAAAAAAAAAAACCCTTTTAGAAACTTTGTTAAATGTATGAAAAAGAAATCAGGTCACTCCTGTGCTGCGTCTCATAATCCGTCACCCTGATTAAAGAGATACGGCTTCTCGTTTACATGTAAACGTACTGATTGTCTGCAGTAGAATGCAGTCCAAATAGGATGAATGAAAGCAGCTTGCACACAAATGCACACACCCAGAATAGCCTACATATTGTATATTGTATTTTTCTTTTTTTGTAACTGGCTTGTGTCTATTAAATCTGCCTTTTGAAGTGTTTTGTCTTTTACAGTGTTTCATTTTCTTGTGTGTTTTCATGTACTTTTGTGGTATAGATTTTAACTTACCGTTCTATTTTGTTTTTTGTTTGTTTTTTGACAAAGCAGGTTCCAGCGTCGTCGTCCATGATGACCCCACCAGCAGAGGCCCCACAGCAGCTGCAGCAGACACCACAACAGCAGATCCTCAGTCCTCAGCAGCTCCAAGCCCTGCTCCAGCAGCAGAAAGCACTCATGTTACACCAGGTAATGTATCTTCAGAGAAGCTACGTGTTTGTCATAGTCCGCATTGAACTCAATGTTTTTATTTTTCTTAACTCAAATTCAATCACGTTTCTGCAGCAGCAAATCCAAGAGGTCTTCAAAAATCAGCAAGAACAGCTAAATATGCAGCTGCTGCAACAGAAGAATGCTGGGATTGTTAGTCAAGAGGTAACTTTTATCAGTTCATGAATATTTGATCATTATAGCAGTATTTATTATGCCACAAAGATATTCAGTTCCAGAAATAGGACTAGTCTGATTCAGGTCAGTAGAACTAAGGGTTAAATAACAGAATACTTAACACTTAAATTATAATAATTATTTTAACCAGTTACTCATACCGGATATCACTTTCAAAATGTCCAGTTCTCTGTGACAACAAGGAGTAACACGTTGTTCCTTGCTCTACATAGTGTGTACGTAATACAAAAATAACACTTGAGGGTAAAACTATAAAAGTAACAGACCTGGATTACATTGGAGGTTTTGTAGCTGTGGAAGATACTTATTTGTAATGATTTCCAATTAGTTTAATGGCTGTTGCGTGCTATCTTTCCACTTCAAGTGCCTTGGGTTTATCCATTTAGGGTGCGTCACATGTTCAAAAGCCACATGTTGCTCCTTCCCAGTACCCACAGTTGCAGTCTTCTGGGCTCAAATGTGCGTGTCATGTGTAAAAAAAAAAGCCAAAAAAACAGTACAGTTAACTCAGTTGTTTGCATTTATTTGTTTGACATCAGTTATGGCTATCCCAGTATGTTCTGAAATCCGTCATTCACTTGCAATCTTAATATGTATCCACTGCTGGCAATTAACAAAAATCCACAAGGCAGCAGGTGTTGGTCATGTGTTGTGCTCTACATAGTTTTTATCCAGTTGGATGAAATTAGAGTGAGCATGTCTTCTGTTAGGTCTGTTGGACACCACAATAGTGGAGGAAAAAGTTGATAGCGTCTATTTCAGCTCACAATGTTTGACTGACAGAGAACATTATGATAAAAATAAGCAGCATCAGGCTTGATCACCACTCAAATATATGTTTTTTTTTTTCCCTTTAAATAGCTAACGACTTTAGCTGATTTCATTACCCTCATAAGATAAGTGATAGACAGCCCCTGACATTATGGTCGCCCAGTGAGGCTTTGTGTATGTTTCAAACCTACAAAATATGCCCAGTGTGATCTCTATTGGTCCTATGCATTCTCTATTATATCGTTATAGAATAGATTTACCTTAGATAAAGATTTCTTTCCTGAATCAAACTGTAAAAAAAAAAAAAAAAACAGAACAAGCTGTATTCAGTGTGAAGAAAGTGGAAGACATTTTCTGACAAACGTGTGATCTCTTCGTCACAGCTGACAGCCCAGCAGATTGCCATCCAGCAGCAGCTCCTTCAGGTGCAGCAGCAACATCTCCTCAACCTGCAGAGACAAGGCCTGCTGTCTGTCCTACCCACCAGCCCTGTTACAGCGTCAGGTATGCTGTGTAACAACTGGAATTTAGGTAAAATACTTTCAAGTACAGTAGTTGGTGTTCACTTGTGCTTGACAGTATTAAGTGAACAGTGAGGCCAGGATCAATGTTGGTAGGCTGAAGCACCTCTCAGTATAATGCAGTATAGTTCAACAGTACCACAAACTGTATCCTCCAAAAGTATCATGAAAGTTGACTAAACACCTCTCTAAAACAGTTTCAACAAAAAACAAACCTTCATGAAGGCAGGATTTATTGCAGGACTGTTGTATTAGACTGCATTAGTTTTAGCTAGGTGTACCTAATAAACTAGCAGCTGAGCGTATATTTTATGATCTTAAGCTAATTTGGTTGACATTACAAAGTGACTCATGCAAGTGTAATAGCACCTCTTTGTATCAGAACACAACCATTTATTAATAGTGTGTGTGTCTATATATATACAATTTCAGGCTGTGAGAACGGTAGCATCATGTCCACTGGTGGAGACACAAGAGAGTCTTCCAGTCAACAATCTACCACCAACGGTCATCACGCTCTTCTGAAGAGGAAAGAAAGGTGATTTGGCTTTTTATACTATCCTGTCACAACTTTAATTTTGATGTATGCTTGAGCAGTACCAAGATGTTGATTTATTAGTGGTTGACTTTCGTCCTGGTTGCAGTGGGTCGCTGGATGAAAACACACAGAATAGCCATCCTCTGTATGGAAATGGCATGTGTAAATGGCCTGGCTGTGAGACTGTCTTTGGAGACTTTCAGGCATTTCTCAAGTGAGTGGTGATACTTTGCATACCTCTAAAGCTGCCGTAATGTTCATTCACAGTGCAGTGGCACAGATATAGGAAAATATATAGGAATGAAATGTGTGTATGTTCAATATTTTGTATATATATTCAGGAACTGTAAATGTCAGCATTATTCCTGAACATTACTATGAAGTATTTCCTATTTTGTTGGTGTAAAAAAGTATTGAAATGTTTTTCAAATGAAATTATTATTTTATGCTCTCTACCACGATTCTCCGCTTGTACAACATGTTGTTTTCCTGAATCATGTCTTGATTTTAAATGTGTTTGTCTGCAGGCATTTGAACAGTGAACACACACTGGATGACAAGAGTACAGCACAGTGTCGTGTTCAGATGCAAGTGGTTCAGCAGTTGGAACTGCAGGTATTTGATTTATTTTCTTATAACTATTAACTATTTAAGTCAAACAACAAAAGGGACCACACATCTTTGATTTATTAACAGTGGTTTACTTTTAAAACTGTAACTTAACCATTGCTTGGTAGACAGGGTTATTACTTTTTTATACTGAAAAAGAAAAGGAAGAGTTTTCTAAAAACTCTGACAGTGAATTCCTGTTAAATGTCAGCAGTGGTGGTGTTTTCACACCAGGCCTGGAAACAGAAGTGATGTCTTTAGATAATTACACTTTGCAGGATGCCAGAAAAGAAGTAGTTCCCACACCGAATGTCATTTCGTCATTTAACACAAACCGTGAATTCACAAAGTCTCAACTTCTATTTCGGTCCTCTCATCTAACACAGTTGAAAAAGGATAAAGAACGACTGCAAGCCATGATGGCTCATCTCAAGTCCTCTGAACCCAAACCCGCAGCGCAGCCTGTAAGTACCTGCTATGACTGTTTCATACAATTAAAATAAATATTGTTTTGCTTGTAGCTACACTGACGTTTTGCTGACTTAACTGCTTTGTTTTTTCAGGTCAATCTGGTGTCTAATGTATCCTTCTCTCAGGCAACATTGCCCAAAGGCCCTCCTCCGATGAGCGTGTCTCAGAGTGCCACGGCACCATCCACTCCCCTGACACCACTCTCGGAATCCCCTTCAGTCCTCACTCCCAATAGCTTGTTCACTGGAACCCCTGTACGGAGGCGATATAGCCGCTCTGTGAGCCAAGGTAACAGTCAGAGCAACTAGGACTTCATTAATAGGGAGTTTTTTTTATTGCTTGTTTCAAGCTGAAACATGCTACTGCTAAGATGCATGTGAACATACACTCATAGGGACACAGAGAAGGGGTTTATTTTCTTATTTCTAATACCTTTTATTTCAGTTTTATTACTTATTATATATTAGTTGTATTGTTTCCCATTCATTCTGTATATGTTTATGTATAAATATTGCTTGTTAATGTCTTTCCACAGATATAGTCGATAATAAGGAGTTCTACTTGAGCACAGAAGTTAGACCTCCATTTACATATGCTTCTCTCATAAGACAGGTAATGTGTGCTTCACTCACTTTAACAAGCCACAAAAATATTAAAATACCTTTTGAAAATAAGAATTCACCTTTTTGCATGACAATATTGGCCTTTCAAACCTTTTATTGTTTTCTTTCTAGTATCTCTTACATGCTCTTGGTCTCTTTCAGGCAATATTTGAATCACCTCGCAATCAGCTGACATTAAATGAAATCTACAACTGGTTCACAAGAAACTTTGCATATTTCAGGCGCAATGCAGCTACTTGGAAGGTATGAACTCTTTCATATTAAATTACTTTGGATATTAGCATATTAATCAGGACAGGTCTAAATTGAGTTTAAATTTTTAGTTTAATGTAACTAGATAAACTTAGGTATGTACGTATGTATGTATGAAAGTCCTAATTGTATTTTTTTCTTTAAACTTCCAGAATGCCGTCAGACATAATCTCAGCCTCCATAAATGCTTTGTACGTTTGGAAAATGTGAAGGGAGCTGTGTGGACAGTGGATGAGATTGAGTTCCACAGAAGAAGGCCCCAGAAGACTGCTGGTAATGGGTAGGTATACCTTGAACATTAAGCCAGAACCATGTTTGTTTTTCTTTTTCTTTTTAAGGTATTTCTCAAAGTGAAAACAAGGCTGACATTTTTGACCTTCTAGCTCCATCTAATCAGTAGGCACAGTATTTACTGTAAGCAAGGTTTCAAAGGAGTCTCTAAGTCTAAGTGTGCTGCAAAGAAAATCTAATTTGGCATGTTCATACAAGCAAATGGATGCCTTTGCGAATATAGCAAAGTGCCACATTTGTTGCTCGTTGCGCCAGTCTGCAAGCCGAACCTAGATATTTCACACAGCCTTGATCCCTCTGGAACACCACTGTCAGTAGATGATCAATAATCCCATCTGGTTTGCTGTGTCTTGCCACGATGACTCAAACTCTTAACTTTTGTGTATTTTATTAGGCGCAGTGTGTATATTGGCAGTTGCTCATAGCGCCAGCAATTTGAGGGCATTAGACTGTTCACTAAGCCCCGCCCCCCATGGTTACTGTTGCTGCGCCACTCATGTTTCCCATTCAAGCACAGTACATATGTAGTGTATAATGCTAACGGTGGCAAATTCACTGCTTGAAAATGTTTTAACCATAGGTCCCTGATTTCAGACATGAAGACAAAAGCAGGCTGGTTGCTTCTACCCAAACACTGGAGGTTTTGTCAGCTGACAAAGGTCACTTACCAGCTGTAGCTAGCACACTGATTCAGCTCATGTTAGGTCCACAAGTTAGTTGAAACATTCTCCTGCAGACCCTTTAATATTTGCAACTGACCTGTTGTAAAACGAGGACCCTGTAAAAAGGGGATATAAATACGCATTTATTGACTACATGCATGAAAAGTCAGCATTACACTAGAGCTTGGTAGTCTTAGTATCATTATGTATGATGATGAAAAATGTCAAAATCAGACTGATATTTCATTATAACATAACTCTGTTTGGCTGCTGAGCTTTTACATGCTTGCATAAGCAAGACAGAGAGGTCGGATTTATGCTTTTTTTGTTCATATTTTCAGTACGTTTCACTTTTAGGCTTTTAGGATGAAGATTAATCACTGTGTTTGGCAAATGTAACATTATCTCAGATAACAAGTTTAGCTGAGGTTGCAGCAGTTTTAGCTGGGCATTGTAATATTATACACTGAACACACTGTTTAATCCATTCATCACACTTTTGCTCTTTTGTTTTTGGGGAGGTTAAAAAAAAAAAAAAAAAAAGACATCCCCTTCAAACTCTTTAGATACGGGTTTAGATGACTTTCGAGTGTCACTCTGTACTGAGTAGTTCCTAGAGATGGTGCACACAACATGGGATGAAATCCAAAGCTTGACAGGCTGGATATGTTTGCTAAGCTATGATTAAACAACTGCTGTTCAGAGGATGGGGGTTTAGTGTACAGTGATATTGTTCTTGCCAGCCCCAAAGTGTGATACTTATCTCTGCTCCTTTAGGTGTTAATGCTAAATTAAATATAACTGTTGTTGCATCTCTGTATTAATAGATCTCTCCTGAAGAACTCACAGAACCGTCAGAGCTCAGCTGGGTCTGCTCATCAGGTAAGAGACATTTGAATAGTGGATTATAAATTAAGCTGATGTATGTATAACATGAGGCTGCTGCAGTGTACATACAAAGATGAAGTGCAGAACAGTGCCCATATACTACATTTTGCAGTAGTCTGAAAATTGTTACAGCTGCAGTATTAAAATATAAATATAAAGGCTGTCGATGTTAAATCTTTCAGAGTGGTGGTCTAGACGGCAACAACTCTTTCTACCACCCAGCATCTATGGGCAGCATCTCATTGCACTCCCTGCCTCATATTCTCCAAGAGCAAATGAATGGAGCCCTTGCTAATGGATCTGGATACCAAAGTGACAGCAGTGCAACACAGTCCCCTCCACAAGCTTTGTAAGTTTCATCGCCGCAGCTACGTTCCCGTATCTTCTAAGTGTGTTTGACACAGCTGTGATTTAATGTAATTATGTAATCACAAGTTCTGATTGCATTTTTTTCCCCCCAGCATTAAAGAGGAGCAGGAGGACGAGGAGATAAGTGAAAATTATCCCTATGGATCTCCGGAGAGCACAGACGAACACGGCCACAGCCCAGAGATGAACCAGGATGAAGACAACGGCAGTCCGGAGAGACCCAACCTTCATTTCGATCGCGTGCCTTCTCTATGAGGTCCAAGCTCTCCACTGCAAGGCCGCCTCACTCACGGCGTGTCTGACTTTTTATTCCAAAAGTTTCCAAAAACAACTGCTTCATCTACGTAACCAAACAGTCTCTTCTGGGGAGTTTTTTTTTTTGTATTTATCAGCATTTCTTATTTTTCGTTGTTAATCTAGCTCTCATTTTTGTCTGTACAGTAGAGTGAGATCACAATATTTGTGAAACTGTCTGTTCATGATTTTTCTTTTTTTATATATCTGTACACAAAAGGACCATGATGAGCAGAGAAGCCAAAGGAAAGGGAACATTGATAGTTAGCACTTCACAATGAAAAGTTTCTCTCCCTCTGTATAGCAACTTTATGATATGCTGGGGCCACGCTACCTGATCTTATTTTAGTAGTCATAAAGATTTGTAGAGGAAGTAAAAAAAAAAATATTACTTTAAAAATGAAAACGTTCACTGCCAACGTGACCTGATATATTTGTATTTAAGGTATGTTCAATTGATCAAAAGAATACTTAGCTTCTTTTTTATTCTTGTTGGTCTTTTTCACCCATTCCACGGACATTGCTGAATTCGCTCTAACTGAGCTTGTAAAAGTAGATAATATAGATTTACCATTATTGTAAAACAATGCATCTCTATGAATAATAAATTCCTCATGATAAATGTGAATAGTCTATGTGTCTTTGATCTGGTTTTTGGATTGCCTTGATGGTGATCCTTAATCATTGCTTTGCATGATAAAATTATGGCTGGGTGTCGTTTTGACTGGATTTTCTCAGTCAACAGTAATGACTTCTTAATGGAAGGTAATGGAAGAAAGCAAATGGTTTTTGGTGGCAAAGTTTCCACTGTGGTATTGTGGTATGTCCATTTTTATAAATCTTATAAATTCGCCCATGTGCTGTCAGCAGATGTGGTATAATAAATGGCCTACAAAATCATTGTGGTGTTAGAAGCACTGGAGGAGTCAAGGCAATAAATTGCGGTAAGCTTTTTCTACGCAAGTCCTGTCTGTCATTCCTTTCTGCATCCAGGTGTTTGATAAGTGGCCTGGCTTGACTTTCCATTGACATATAATGCCATAATTGAATGGATCTTCCGTGCATTATGCCATCACAGATTTGTAGTTGTGCTTCCTGAGTGGCGAGTATTGATCGGTGTGGAGTGTGCTCACAATGTGGGTGTGTGCATGATGATGGGAGGTGCTCAAGTCCAAGCTCAGAGGGGTTCACAGTTGCAGATGCTACGGATTACACTGTTGGATATTTAACCAGTACAGGCAGGTAATCTTAATAGTGAATGATTTGACAGAATTCATTAAGGAATATGTGCTTTGTTCATTTTCAACCTCAGTATACTGGCACTTTGGGACGCATTTCCTGCATGATTCTCTAATTTCACATAAAAACAATGCAATAATGATTCATTGCTGTCTTTAGACAGGATATTTAAATTATAATACCATTATAAGGGCTATGCATGTGTCTCTCACTCCATGTGTATTCTCTCCACTTTGCTCTGCAAAAGATGACATCTCCTTTAAAGCTTCCTGTGAATGATGAGGATTGTCTCGAGCTTGAGAAAATAGGGGACCATGTGTGTGATGGTAGGTTGTTGTTGTTTATGTCTAATTAGGCTAAATACTGCTCAAGTTAAGTCATTGTTAGTTACTGCTGCAATGAAAGTGTGTAAGTTAAAATGGCCGAGTGATTGATAGAAGTGGTGCATGCCAAATGTTAGTGGGGGAGTATATTTTCACACAGTATATATTTTCCTCAGGCTTGATTCAATCCAGGAAACTAGATCCAAATAAAAGCTTGCAAATCAATAATCTCTCCTCGCTGAAGTTTTATTGAGCAAACCTCCTCCATTATACATTTCCAAGTCTCACCTCGCTGACATACTGCATGTTAATGGTGCTCTGAATAATTAAAACAGCCTCATAGAGGATCTGAGTAAGTTGCCTGACAGAGACTGGACTGGGCTGCTGAACCATCACTGAATTTTTATAACATCAGTAATGTCTGTGCATCCAAAATGATCCCTCTGTTGCTTGCATCATCCTTTCAAAGGAAGCACCCCCAAGCCGGTTTTGAGCAGTCCATCTAAAAAGATGATGGGCAGCAATTCAGTCAGTGGGGTACGCAGACTGAGCACCATCTCAGAGCAAGAACCAGACAAACTGGACACTGATCCCAGTTCCCATGATGCCCGGGGTGGCAGTGAGTGGCGTGGATCCAGCTTCTCATTGTGTTCTGACAAGTTTATAAACAGCAGCAGTCATTTTTCCTCTGATGATTCATACCAGCCTGACACTGGAGGTATTGTGTAACTCATCTAAAGTACAACAGTTGATGTAATTAAATTGAGACACCCTGACACTGACTTCAGTTTCTCACCAAATCATTAACCTTCTCTCCTTTTATACCACCTTGTCACCGCCACCAGATGACTGTGCAGCACTTCTTCTCGCCTGTCTGCACTGCCGTTTTCACGAGTTAATGGTCCTGCTACCGGATACATGCGAGAGGGCTGTGAGACGCTGTTTTCCCTCGTACAAATACATCAAGACATCCAGTGAGAGAGAACAGCAGGGAAAGGATTGCTGCAATTACAAGCTGGAACTGGACTGTAACTGCTGCGGCTCCTGTCAAGACGCGGGAGAACTCATAGAGCTTGCAATGGAGATATCAGAAGTTTGCTATCGCTGAGAGATTCCTCCTTGGCCTTTCACCTCTGACCTTTAAACACAAAGAGTTCACTTCAAAGAGAATCCCAAAGATTATCCATCTTTGAATGCTCAACAAATGGCATGACCGTCTTGTCTTATTCCCACATATGTAAAAAATTGCCTGCATTACTGAGATTTTTTTCATATTTGGCCTTGTGGAAATGTATCTCCAGCTTGTGTGCCTCAACATTATTCAAGCAGGTAACTACTGCCACCCTTTGCCACCAGTTTATGATGTTTCAGCCTCCTCATTTGTTGTTACAGCCACAGAGAGCAAAGTACTCAAATGCCAATGAGCAATCCTGTCAGGGTGGAAGAGGGGATAGAGTGCAGAGTGGGGGTGGTTATGTACAGCATGTTGAACCATAGCATCCTTTACGTTCCCAGTGTCACTCCATAAAGCATGATAGAGTAGGCTGAAGACATTTAGGAGACTGGGAATATAGTAACTAATATAAGGTGAAATACCTTTCTATTTTGGGCTGCAGTCACTTGTGTGAAACATAGAGCCGTGGAAGACGTATTCAGATCCCATAGTAAAGTAAAGTAGCATAAAAGTACTCCATTACAAGTAAAACTCCTCCCCCATTCAAATGTTTGGTTGAAACAGTAGTCCACTGATTTAGCATTGTACATGTATAATGTCCACGAGGGACAAAAATATATCAACACACGTCTTTTTCATTCCACATGTTCATATTCCCTCTCAAAATCTGGCACCTTCATTACCCACAATGCAACTCAGCTGGCAACAGTCAGTTAGAGATTCAGATGTATAATGCTTGTAGCGGCTGATGTAGGCTTGAGCTGCTAGACTCACGCTGAGATGAGGAGCAGCTACAAAAATGACTTACATTTTCAAAGTGGTAGAATTCAGCTCAAACCAACGTTGACATCACTCAAGACCAAGTATCAAATTTCACATAGCTCCCTCTTGAGTCTCAAAAGGCCTTATACAACTTTTTTTTACAACTTTGATACATAAAGTTCCCCTTAAAATAAAAGTATGCCATTGAAGTATTATCAGCGAATACTTTTAAAATTGAAAATAGGCTAATTTTTATGCTGAAAAGTCACTGTCAGTATTATATTATTCTATCATTTAATTATCATTATTGATACATTAAGCATTACTTTCATATTGTATTTGGTCAAGGTGGAGCAAATTCTAACAGCTTAATGTACTGATAGGTGGTTTAATCTGTAATAATGCATTACCTTGATCATAATCTTTGTATCTAACATTAACAATTAGAAAAGTAGCAATTAACTTTTAAACAGTAAAATAAATGTAGTCCAAGAAAATTTAAAACATTTCCCCATACGTAGTCAAGTATAAAGTAGAACTCAAATAACGTACCTCAAAGTTTGATGTGAGTTACAGGCAGCATTTTAGCAGTTGTCTCTGTCAATCCCTAAAAAAGTAAACACTGAATTAAAGCTACAGTATAGCATACAGTATCAGTATCAGCCTATTATCTTCAGCTATATGAGAACAAGTCAGAACAATGAGAATCATTCAGTGCAGAAAAAATTCTGGATCTCAGAAGTAACATGTACAACAAGTAACATTTCTCTGGAGGCATATGTGGGGTGAAGAACTAAATGAAACCACAAACATTTAGGAGGATCTATTGGCAGGAATGGAATGTAATATTCATAGGTGTGTTTTCATCGGTGTATAATCACCTGAAAATAAGAATTGTGGTGTTTTCGTAATCCTTTTTACAAAGGGAGCCGGTCCTCTTCTACCGTCCATCTTCGACAGCCATGTTTGTACAGTAGCCGACCACAGACAAATCAAACACTGGCCCCAGATTGGACCTTTTTCCTTTTTCGCGAGTTTCATGGCTACTGTAGTTTCTCCTACATGCTTGGAACTGGATGTGGTTTTGGCGACATCTTTGCATCGCCGGAGAACTACATATATTCAGTTGCCACTTTACTATGATGTTAGGTGTTGAGATGTTAAATGTGCTTGTCATTGCATGATCACTGATCAAGAGAATGATTTTCCTGATAGTCATGCATGTGGTAGACCATGAACACCCAAGTGTGTGTAATTAACCTTACTGCCAACTGTGGAAAGCACAATTACATTTACATTACATTTTTCTGACCAATTTCTATCTTTGGCAGTTCATGCTAAGAAAAATGAGTGTGCTTAGACTAGAATTAGTTGTAGATGGTGATTGTGTTGCAAGCAGAAACCAACTTATGGTGCATTTAAACCCCTGATTGATAAACAATGTTTGCTATCTTATATTGAATATGGAGCAGTATTTTTTTTACATGCTAGTAGGCTCATTTGTGTGAACAAGCTTTGATCCTTTTTAAAAATATGTTTGAGGAGCTCCTTTCTGGAGTTTCACACAAGCACTTGAACACAACAACAACAACAAAAAAACAGTCCCTTATTGTAAATTTATTAAGAAGATATCAGATACCAAATGTTTATTGAGATTATCAATGTTACAAATTTCAGGTTTCATTAAACTGATTTTCATAGTTCTTGGAAACAAAAGCTACATACAGCTAATTTCATCAGCATATTTCTGAGAATTTATGAGCATAGATTTTGAAGTTTGGACAATTTCAGGTTATTTGCTCATTAACAATGCAAATATGACTTCTTGCTAAGGCATCTACAGTGATTTTCACAACACCAGGTATGTAGTAGAAGCTAGCATCGGTATTTGCATAATGGGATTGCTAAAGGTCAACTGACAGTTGACAGTTGACTCTTCTCTAGCTACTAAAGACAGACCTGTAAAGTGTCTCTCAACAACCAAAATCTAGACTGCCCAGCTCCCTCCAAAACCCCCAATTCTTTCTTGGTTTCTACTAACTTCTGTCTGTTGGCTCTGCCAGGGATGTTGTAATGCAATATTTAAAGTCTGTCTCCAGTCAGAAATGTGTTTTGTTTATTGTTTACTTGGATGTTTGACCTTCACAGATGTTTCTGCAGAGTTTGACACATTATTCTGCTAACTCTGTAAGCTTGAATCTGAGAGTGTTCATACTAGCATGATTTTGTGACATCACAACTACTTGTTACTACAAGCCAATTGTGGCCCAATATGTAATTTACACAAATGTGATGTTGAAACTTGAAACCTCGAAAGCACATAAACTGAGAATGTATCAGTTATGTTGTGTCCAGCAATTTATTTTAATGTTTCATAATGACATTTTTTTTTTTAAATCAACAATAGCTGCATATTCAAAGCTTCTGGATTTTTCAATGAAGGAGAAAGGGTAGATCCAATTTTATGAATCAATTAAACTTTTGTTGTGGCAAAAACACAGACACAAATTATTATCCAAATCATATTTTGTATTTAGATTAGAAATTTAACATTAAGGAGGAACTATTGGCAGAAACTAAATATAGCCTAATATTTAAACGTGTGTTTTCATTAATCTCCTGAAAATAAGAATTGTTGCGTTTTTAAGACCGATTTCTATCTACAGAGGGAGCAGGTCCTCTTCAGGAGCAGTCTGCCATGTTGAACTACCATATGCCAATAACAGCCCACAACAGAGGGTGTGAGCAGGAAGCTGCTGCACTCCAAGCTGTATCTTTAAACTAATTATTCAATCTAAGTTTAATTCAATCACATTTTTAAAGCAGCACTGGAACTTTAAGTTAAACCAGCTTAAAATGATTTAGAATGAGGAGAGCCTCTAAACTTTCCTATTAAGTTTGCAAATTGTGCAATAGGCGTGAGTAGGTGTAGATTATGTATGAGAATATACATACAAACACTTTTTATCCACAAAAATGTACAACCAGGATATATTTCCATCTTTTCTGACAGCATAGCAATTGTTGCCAGTGCTGCGGTCAACATCGATATGTCCTTCAGTGTATGTTGCCCACCAGAGGGGGCCACTGACAGCAGACCTGGGCCTGGAGCTGACTGTGTGGCACCAGGACTGCACCCTGGCCATGGTGCAGAAATCCCAAGGAGCCCCTAAAGCACTCTGCTGGCTCTTTGAGGATGCCTCTTCCCACAGGACTGGGATGTGCAGGTATAATAATAAACCATGAAACCTGTCTGTCAACAATCATTTGCCCTTTTCAGCTTGGTAAGTACAGGTAAAACACCATTCCTCTGTTAAATGAAATATGTTCGTTAACATTTTTCTAATTTTATCAACATTTTCCCATGACATTATTGAGGATAATGTCCTTTCAAGCTTACCAGAAATGTACTGATGTGCTTCTTCTGGGGACAAATTAAAACATTAGCAAAAAGTCTTTGCAACTGTAACTTCAAATAGGTTAACCGTTTCAGTATTCAGCATTTAAAACATTAAATAATAAGTATAAATGTATATCATAGGAGTAATGATTATTGACAAATACGTTAATGAACATTTAAAATGTCCTTATATTTGCTTACAACTACTAAATTATAGTATGCTATAAACCATTTACAAAATGTCTTTGTACTGCTTATAAATGCTAAATAGGTAAATAGGTAAAACATTATCTTGTTATCTAATTTAGATTTTGAGGAAGAAAAACACAAGCTCTCCAAAGATTCAAATAAACTTTTAATATTTCTCACAAGATAGTTTCCACATTGAGTACCAATGAGTTTGAATTCACTAATCTGAAACCAGTGCGTACAGTAACTATTGCTACATTCATTTTATATAAACTGTAACAATAAGAACAGTAGCAACATCAGCAGAAAACATTGTCTGTGTGAACCACAGGAATGAGCAGAAGAGATGATTCTTCATTAGTGGTTTACCCATAATGTGCCATAATAATTAACAGCTGGAAGATTCATTATGAGAAATCAGTCATAGTGATGGCTTTAAATTAAGTGCCACCGCTACCACGTGTGATACCAATGTTCATTCTAACCAGTCACATTTCAGGGTTTAGATGATTTATCTATTCCACTCAAAAAAAAAGCTGATCTGGGTTCAGTCTAAGGGCAATGCTACAGGCCTGTGTGTATTGCACTATTTAAGGCTCAGTACATGGGATTGAAGTCATTCTGCATTCCACTGAAGCCATAATTCAGCTATGACAAAAGAAAAAACTAAATTCAACTCAAAGTCCATTTACTAGCTTGTTCCAGGCTTTTAACTACATCTCATGGTCTTAACAAGAGAGGTTCCATACCACTTCAGTGTCACATAATGACAGCTGAGCTATCTCCATCTGCTGAGAAGGACTGTGAGATGCAGTTGAAAGCTCTGGAAAAACTGTTACCAAGTAGAACTTTAATTTTTCTTTCTGTCAAACCAGTGTTGCAGGAATGAACTTTCACAATATACTTCACCCGTTGGTGGTCTACATACGGCCTGGTTGCCATCATGTTTTTAGATATTGCTTGTAACTATGGATGAAAAACACCACTAACAGAGGTGCATTAGCTCAGCTGTTAAAATGGCAATTCATAAACTTATTGTATATTTTATTTTGGCAACACATTTTGGCAGTCATCACTTTAAACTACCTTCATAGTCTCATAATGATGCTGAATATTCAGTACAACTTTGGAAACACTGCCTTCATCGTGGTATTTAACATCAATAAAGATAAAACAAAATGCACACCCACCCCGAAGTGTTCAGTATTAAATAATAAATAAGATATTGTGAAACATATGAATAAACAAGCAAAATATAATATAAAGACTAAGAGTCTACAGCTATGCTAGCTCCTCTGTTGAGCTAACATCAGCATGCTAACATGCTCACAGTCACAATGTTAACAAACTGATGCTAAGCAGGTGTCTAGAGTTTAATATTTGCTGATTAGCACCAAACAGAGAGTACAGTAGAGACTGATGGGAATGTCATTAGTTTTGCAGGTTTTTGGTCATAAATCATATTTGGAAAAGTATCAGAGAAATTGAAATTATGACCTGATGATGCCACTAATTGAAAAGTTCAGGGATCATTAATTACAATGTATCCTGACGGTGACATGAATGTCTTAACCAAATGTCACTGTGCAATAGTTGTCAAGACATTTCACTAGAAGTAAAAAATGTCAATCTGCTGGTGGCACTAGATAAAAGGTCAGGGGATCACCAAAGTAATAAGGATCCACTGGGCAATTAATGTCTCCACAATATTAAATGGCAATCCATCTAATCATTCTTGAGATATTTTGGTCTGGAGCAACCGACATTGACGTAAAGCCACGTCACGCTGCTAACGCAATCATATCACAAATGATTAAAACTAAACTCATTACAATGAAATGTTGTTTCATCATTCTTATTTTCATACCATTGCACTTTCCCCAATGTCATTTCAAAATGTTATTTTTCATGAGAGAGGAGTTTCACATGTCTCCTCCTCTGCAGGCTCAACACAGCCAGCCAGCTGCCTAGCTCCTGTTGGCTACAACCACTACACAGATTTATGTTCTCGCTCTTCACATAATCAACTGTCTTTCTCTGAGGAATAACTTTAGAAACATTTCCAAGATAACTCTGAATGAATAAGTTAGCTGCTGCTGTAAACACTGGCTCTTCGCTTAGATGCTGAGTAATAATCCAAAAACCTATCCAAAAATAGAGGTTAGTTTCTGTGCCTGTACTCTGTGTTTGGTTGCTGCTGCAGGTAGTCAGTATTAGTCTAGCATTGGCATCGCTCTCACTAACTGGAGCTGATAAGCTAGCTGGCTAAATGTTGTATCTGTTGTTAAACCTGTAGTGGGGACTCGGTGATTGCCTCAGACAATTTTGAAATGAAATAGTCATTGGGAAAAATGCCATTATCCAATTAAATTAACAGACTTGAAAAGGGCACTTTGAAATAAAAAAATCTGTACAGAAGTAAAAATTAAAATAAATAAAAAAGCACTTAATATGAAAACAAAAATGATGAAATAACATTTAATAATAAGGATGGGTTTTCATAATTTATTATATTATTTCAAATGTATTGGAATATATATTTTACTCTGTTTAATTCATAATGCCTTCTTTGTTTATTTAATACTGAACATGTTGGGGTTCCATAATAAACACTTTCTAGTGGCTCTTGAGTCTGAGAGGCTAAAAGTGTTATCTTGTACTGACAAAAGGCCCTTTCCTACTGCTTTCTAATACCTTGGCACTCATCAGTTAATCCATGAAGCACCATACACCAGTATAAACATCAACAAAATGTTGCATCATTGTCTACAACTCCTGTTACATCACTGAGGAAACAGAAACGACTGTAAGGCACTTAAATCAATTAAAAAGACAATTACTTTGATACTGTTTTAGACTAATTCATAAGGAGATCACATTATCAAGACATGATGCTGCTCTGCAGGCACAACTTCAACCATTGCATAGTTTAACAAAATGGAGGCTGTGCTGTAACAGGGCTCTCGATGTATGGCAGGTAGTTATTTAACAAAGGCATATTTATGCAATGTGCTACAACTGCTGAAAACAAACTGCTGAAATATACAACAACCGTACACCATAAAGAATCTACAATCTCATACAATATTCTGTATGCATTTGAAAAGCCAAATACAATAGTTAGTTTATGCTTAGATAAAAAAGGCGAACAAACCATGTTTCATTTTACAGAGGTCATTCCAGTGTTTTGACAATGTCATGCATTTCATACAAAATCCCAAAGCAGTCTCCTTATACTCCTTGGCAATATAAATGTTCACATAATGGAAAAAAAAAAACATACTGAATGTGAAATGTCACCGCAGTGGTGTAAAAAAACAATAATTTAGGAAATGGATGGATAATCAGATCTATCAAGTGAAATCAGCTTCTTGTGTGTGTCAGGGCTACAACAGGGTCTTTAATTTTGATTTGAGCTAAGATCCTACTAGTTTTGAGACTAGAGATTAAAAATATTTTATTTAATTCTTTGCTAAATTTAAGTATTTCAGTGGTTTTGGCAGAGAGGAATGTACAGTGGTAATATATCTCGTACACCCTGCTGAGTAGACAGCACTGGATGGTTAAAGGATGCATTTATTTGGTGAAACTTGACCTTTCTTTCTTTTTACTGGATTGTTTTGTTGCTTTCTTGCTCATTGTGACACAGAATAAAGGACTAAAATTAGCCATTATCAATGTTGATTTTGTTCATTTTAATTCTCTTAAAGGAGACATTTTAGCTTCATATTTTTTAACGTGCTTTTATTCATTATTATCTCAGATGTTTCAAAAAGGCTCTTTGAAATACCTTGTTATAAATTAATCTTTCTTGGGGAATGTGTACATAAAGTCCTGTTTACATAGATACATAAATAAGATCAAATCTATAAATGATTAATATTGTCAAGGAAGAAATTTCAACTGGAAGACTGACAAAGACTCAGCTAACAGCCAAAACATGTGCATAGCAATACAACATTGATGTATACACATCTTAATAAGGCATTGACACATTCAAGTATAATCTAAGACACAAGGAGTGTAAAGCACTATAGTAATAAATAGATTTATTTCTTCTATTATTGCTAGTGATTTAAAAAGCAGTGTTCATCTCACCACAAAATATCTACACTTCTGACCATGATTTATAACTTCCCTAGATTCTTTGGAATCAATAGAAATAAACATAATCTAGCCTCTATCCAAAGATAAATGCATTTTTTTTTTTTAAATATAAAAACCTCTATTTTTGTAACTCATTGTCATCAAAGTATTGATTAAAGCCAACATACTTTATAATCAGTCCTTGAAATCAAGGTTGAAAAGACATAGATATAACAAAAAAACAAAAAAACAAAAAACATGAATGGAAAAGATTCAGTACATGTAAACACGGGTGGGGAGAAAAAAAAAAACACAACAGACACAAATAACACAAACAAGACAAAGCCTCTCCAGCAGCTGGGAGTGTGTTAGCTACTGACAGGAACACTTGCAGCAGGATGGAGGGGCTGGAGATGCAGACGAGGTGTCTTCCAGTAGGGGGTGCTAACAGCACTGCTCATTCTCATCCATGCTTACACTGCTCTTGCGACTGCTGTCCTTTGAGGCGTCTGGGGAGATGGACGAGAGCAAAGGGTCTCCCCCTCTCACCGGTGATAAGGTGTCTTCCATGAGGATGTCGTTGAGTTTGCCCGGCTTGCTGTGAACGCTGTAGTGGCCCTCCTGGTAGTTAGTTTGGGCTTCGTTTAGCTCCAGGGTGCCGGGTTGTTCTGGAGTGCAGGCGGGGTGGTGTTGGTGATGGGGGTGGAGCGTGTACAGGTCCTGGTGACAGTCCTCCAGAGCAGTCTCTTGCTTAATGTTCCGGGCCCCATGTTCAGCAGTGCAGAGTGTTGAGGATCCGACGGCAAGACCGTGAGCCCGTGCCTGCATTTCTAATTCCTGCAAACACACACAGGTTAGTCAGTGAAGAGTTTCACTCTCTGCCATAATGTCTATCACAATCACAGTCTTCTATTCTTGTGCCAGGATGGGTCTCAGATCACTGTACTGTTTCACTTTCTCCATGGATGGTCAACAATAAAGGAACAGTTTACTAATCCAGAGTTTCCCCAAGGAAATTAGTTGGCAGACGTGCTAAGTGCAGGTGACTTTTCTTTTTAAAACCCCAACTGACTGTGACTGATGGAGCCCTTTGTCTTGACTTTTCCAGTCGAAAAAACTCTGAGGGTTTTCTTTTTCCCCAGATAATAATGATAATAATACCTACAAAGTGTTTGCAAAGTGCTTGGACATGCAAAGCAAAAGCAGGATATTCAGAAGGCAATATAAGAACAGATGACGAACAGTGAGGCCTGACAAAAGCAGGACAATGAAAAACTAAATTGCTGCTCTAAAGAATTACTGTAAAGCAAACGCTCAATGTGATCAATCAATCAATCAATGTCAGCTGTGCGCACAGATCCTGGCGCCTCTTGTCTTGTGATCAGTTAGTTTCAAGATGATGGTTTAAACATCCGGCTTCCTCGAATACATGGCCTTTGCTTTGCAAATTAGTGTCCCTACTCGTTTTTCGTTATATTTCATAAAAGTGTAATAATTTCCTCTGACATCAGTGGAATGAGGGGTTAAAGAGTAAAATCTTTCACTCTTTACACTCTGTGCACGACACATACTGTAGTTTCCCTTCTAATTGTATTATTAGTTTATAGGATACTGCAGTTCTACAACTCTTTGACTCCGCCTTCCCATCAAAAGATGTCATGGAAGTTTGTTTACCTGTATCCTCAACATCAGATGTCGATTGGCATGCTCGAGCTTCTTCTGGCGATTCTCAAGCTCCTTGGCTCGCAGCTGCTCTCGCTGTAGCTTCCTGATGTAGTCCACCGACGCCTTCAGGATGGTGCCTTTGTTCCAGCGCATGTCCCTGAAAATCACAGAGGAGCCATTATTTGTACAGTCTCTTAGATCGTATAGTTTTTGGATGTCAAACAAACAGCGATCTCTAAAATCAGATTACAGATTTCCATTAGACTCGGGCTGCTCTAATTGTCCACTAGCTGCTGTTCAGTTAGACAAACAAGAGACAGAAGAGAATAATGAGGAGGAATAAGGAGCAGAGCTGCTGCAGGTCACAGGGGTGATTTGAAGTCTGAGAAGGGAATGCTGCATTAGACATTTATGCCGCGGAGGTCACTGAGATCACAAGCAGTCATAAGGACGACCTTGAGCTCCCTGAAGAACTGGAGGTTGCGCTGGGTAAGATCAATCTTTTCTAGACAAAATGAGAGAAAATCCCTGTTATAAATCCAACTGATAGGTGCTTTGGTTTTAGGTTTGAAGTGGTCAAAAGCCTTAAAGGCGGGCATTTAAAGTCATGAATTTAATTCTAACAAGCACATGTCCCATACATGTTCTTATTCATCATGTGTTATCCATAATAAGAACTATGTTAAGCGAGGTTTGTTTGTGAAAGGTCAGTCACTGAGTTTGTGTGCATGAAGGCGGTTGTGTGGGTGGAGCACCCAGCTGGGGTTTAGCAAAACAACCACGGGTGAAAAGACACAACAAAAGGGGCTGCTGTGATCTTCCCTGAACCACAAGGAAGGGCAGAGAATGAGGAAAGAGTGACCTTAAAGGGATGCTTTTAACCTTAAAGTGTACAGTCAGAACATATAATTAATATACTCAATCTCAGGCTTAAAGACAGACACATAGAGATGAGTCTTATTTTTAAGGAAATCTGTCTTGAATAAGAAATAAAGCAAAAAAATTAGTAACTTACGGGTCATTAGATTTTGGAATTAAAGTTCCCAATTCCTTGATTCGATCGTTGATGTTAAACCGTCTTCTTCTCTCAACTACACAACATAAACAGAAGAGAAAAAAAAATCCATGATTAGTTGACATAACATCATCTGAAAATTTGTTTTCAGTGTTTTTTATACTGTAACAAAGAAAAAGACACTAAGGCAACCATAAGTATTTTCAAACATTCACACTTACAGAATTATATATATATATAATTAAGGGCAGTTAAAACTCACTCAAGTTGTGGTTGTCCTTCTTCTGTCTTTCCTTTGCCATTGCTCTTACCTCAGCTTCTGAAAGAAATGGTAACGATGATCAATAAAACAGAACAAAACAGTGCAGGTGCAAGTATTAAAGAATGTGCAGCGGCTAACATTTTGAAGCCAATTAACCACACGTACCCACGGGGAACCCTTCAGGCCTTTGATAGTTGTCAAATTTGCCACAGGATCCAGACTTATCCAGCATATGCATGATGGCCGGGGATTGTGAAACTATGTGATAGAAAAATGTTCAGGTCAGTCATGTACAGTCAACACCCCCACACTGAGGAGGATTACAAGAACTGGACTATTAATAAAATGCTACATTATGGGCTGCAAAGGCCTGGAGAGTACAGCTTCATATGCAGTGTTAGAGCCTTGGTGTTTTCCATGCAATAGAGAAGCTGAATGGATATTAATGTTAATTCTCACAGCTCAGATCTGTAAACATTTTATAGATATATTGTAATGACAGAAACCAAGCATTTAAAAGTGTGTATGTCTTTTACTGTGTCAGTTTGCTTACCAGAGTATTCCCTTTTGATGTTGGGCAGGTTGGCAGGGCAGGAGTTGCTAATTGGCAGACCTTGCTGGGACATACCCTGATTACCATACATGTCCATGAGGTTAGCCGGCACAGGGATCTGAAGACACACAGTAAAGACATTAGGCAAGGATCACACCACCCCCTCTGTATAGATGTTAATCAGCATCACAGGATGAGCATGATGGGAAGGGTGGTGACTTAAACCAATCCATTATACAGTGACAAAAGTTTAACAAATGTTTAAATATGCAAATGGTCATGATGCCGCTGTTAAAAGAATAGTTCCTCATTTTGGAAAAGAGATAGATCAGAAGATAGACATCACTCTCATGTAAGGCTACAGCCTACAGCCACTAAGTACAGCATAAAGACAGGAAACAGGGGGAAACATCTAGCCAGCACCTCTAAAGCTCACTAATTAACACACTATAATTCATTTGTTTAAAAAAGTGTAAAAATGACACATGTTACGTGTGGGAATATTGCTTGGCTGGGTGCTGTGATTTCCTTGAGTCTCTACTGGTTGCCTGGCAACTTCACAGTGACAAGAAGACACCAGGAATGATTCCCCAAATAAATCAGTATTTAATAAAACAGTATTTCTAACTTTAACAATCAAACGACTGTAGCCACTCAGCTTACAGCTAAAGCAAAGCATTTGTTGTTATCCCAAAACACACCAAACAGAATGCCCTCATGTGACCAACTTTAAAAGAGCAAAGTGCTCGATCTTTATACAGGCTCACTGTTGAGAATTAATTCATGTTCAACACACACATACCGTGTTAGCCATCTGAAGTCCTGGGTCCATCAGGCCGAGGATATCGTCACTGTAACTGGACTCCAGACTAATAATGTCATCAATGACATCATCCATCTAAAACAAGACAACACAAAGGGCAGAGGACAAACAAATAAGTCTGATTAAACGAGTACAACGTCACAAAAATGAAAAGTCTATGTGTGTGTCACTGTGAGACGCTGTGATAAGTCTGCGTAAGTAACTCACCTCTTTCTCGCAGTTAGCGTTCAACGTCAGTAAGGCCATAGGGCTGTTGGGGGCGCTGTTGCCCGGCCCTGGCGGCATGCCCCCGTGGTCAGAGGACTGGTTGGGGCAGGGCAAGCTCAACACCTGAGAGCCAAGCTTTCCCAGGTACCGCTTCACCTGCTGCTGCTGTGAGCGCTGGATGTGGTATTTGGTTGGGTTCTCCAGGTGAGTCTGGACCTATTGGTAGGAAAATAAGGGAGAAAGGAAAGAGAAATAAATCATATAAATATGCAACTTAGTCACACCGAATGAAATGTCGCTGAGAAGGAGACGTTCATTTCAAATAATCCCACCTGATACTATATTATTCTCGTAGTCACATTTCATGTTTTTTTGTCTATGCAGTCTTTTATTAGATTAAAAGACTCTAAATATACCTCAAAGTTGTGCCTGTCCCTAGCATTGCACAGAACTGACTGTAATATTAAAATAAACTCACGCACAGATCTCAAAGCCTTCGATGTGTTTTTCTTTTGAGACGCTCTCAAGTGTTGTTATCTCAAAGAGTCTCAGTAGAAAACAATTTCTACATATTTTTCTTTAACTGCTACTGTCTGCTTTTCTACATTCATAGTCTGCATATTTTAAGTAACAAAAATTACACAAACACACCCATCTGCACTCCCCAGTTATGGATACATTTGATCGCTGTGGATCATTAATCCCCACACAGCACTAATGATACAGAAAAGCTACTCTAGGCAAATAAACAAACTTCAGAGACAGTGTTTGTCACATTTTAAATGGAGCAGTGCTGCTGCTGAATTCCACTGCTCACATTTGGATTCTATATTTAAACCTTCTTGTCTATTGCCTGAATTGTTTTGATGCAATGACTAACAGATTCTGTGGTTTATAAAATAACAACTGATGTATGTGTAGACACATAATAAGCACCGTTGTGGATAATGACACAACTGTATTGGCTTTAAGATAGTAAATTAGGTAAGAATTTAGTCTCGTAATGACATTTTATTTCCCATGTATAATTTAAAAAGATTTCTCTTCTCCAAAAAAGATAAAAGATAACTTAGTTTTTACACATACCTCATAAGGATAGTATCCAAGCATCTCAAGCATAATTTACAATTAACTGATCCGTCCAGTGTAAGAACAAAAAAACCTAAACTTCTGTGCTTAACTCCTATCTAAACTAAGTGCTGTAGCTGCTTCCCTCTTGGTTGCACCAGAAGACTAAGCCTGCTAAGTATGAGGACAGACACATCCAGCTCATCTTTTAAAAGGCAAGAAAAGTAATTAGTTATGCATGTCAGGGAATCTTTAAAGCACAATGAGCTTTTTCAAATTTGTGTTGTTTTATGTAAAATCTGAATTTATTCCTTTATGGTGATCACTTGACGTCAGGATGTGGTGCTAACAGTTAGTGCCTTTGTTTTGCAAGGCCGGCCCTTTAACTGAAAATTGCCTGGGGCTATCACTTTGCCGCATCCACTTTTTTAACCCCGTGGATGCTAGCCGTGCTTTCCCAGTTTAACACAGCACAAAGAATAAAGTCTGTTAAATCCTTGTTTGTCTGCAGCTTGCATCTCCTCGTGTCTCTAAAATACGTTTTTTTTATCATTTTTAATCAGACATTTTAAATTGTCAACAACAGGCATACAAAATCAAAATCAATGAATTACAGCCTCAGCTACTTCATTTTTTAAAATGATGTATTTGTTCTGCTTAAGCCCAGAGGATTTGGATTCATTAACAGCGCTGAGGAGGTCAGAGGCTCTAGACGAACTCTAAGCTACCTCTTATGTTTCTGTGAAAACTCCTGTAGTCTGCACACTGAGCTTGACAGTTAAATGATGTGGTTATTGAACGAATAAATAAAAAATTAACTGGCTCCCAACAGCAGCTTAATACAGGATATACAGAGCTTAAGAAAAAGAGAAAATGCATTGACTTATGTTGCTCATGGATACTCAATATCTGTGGAAAAACACAGTGATGATCAAGATAATATAATGTGACTAAACACAAGTCCACTTTGTGCACGTTCAATTCAATTAAATTTTATCATATATAGCAGGTCTAGACCGTACTCCTTATAACATTACGTTCATGCAATGTAACCTTTAAACATTATTTGTGTACTCTGTGGAGAGTGAAGTGTACACTAGTTTATCACCTACCACACCTGTCATCTCTTTGTTTGCATTCCCCTTTTGTTTTGAATATTAAACCCACTCATGTGACGTCACGTCAGGTTATACGACCGTCTTTCTGACTGTCAATTTTTTTTCACTTCTCACCGGAACAACAACTCTTTCAGAGTGTCTTTTCCACGCAGTATCATTGTTCTGCAGGGGGTACTCATGTGAGAGGTGCATTACCATATATCCCGCAGGTATGACTGAGATCACCTTGGGCTGAAAATCATCATTACAGGGTCGTATAGCTGACACTACTGAGAGGGGCATACTTGCAGCACGTCAATGACTCATTAAGAACAACCACATCACACTGCGGGCTAAAGTCACTAATAAACTCCTTTAGTCTTTACTTTGCTTTCATTCATTATGGTGTTTAACTCTTGTATAATAATGTTTCTAATTATAAGTTCTTCAGGATCATTACCACTGTTATCAGATTATCAACACAAAAGTCGTCACAAGCATTACTTTATCAAAAAAATGATATGCTTTATACATTATGGACCACAGTGACGTTGGTCCTGAAAATAGACTGTGAAGGGTAGCAGAGTGTTCAGAAACCTAATCCAGATGGAGGAACTGCAGCCATAAATGGGAAATCCAATTATTTGCACTCACACGCATAAACTATTGGTAAACAACCTAATACTAGTGAATACTAGTTAATAATTTATCAACTAAACTGACTGAATTCAATTGAATTAGGGTTGACTCTGGTCTGACAAAAGTTGGCACAGTCTAATAAATATTTGAATGAATCTTTATCATTTCTTTCTTTACTATTTTATTTTTTCCCCCTATAGTGTCTGTGATTTAAAAAAAAGTTTTTCTTTATCTCGGGACATTTGTTGACAATTACATTGCAAGGTCTGTTGATTTTTAATGTAATCGTTAGATTATTATTTTTTTTAATTCATTCTTGATTAATTGTTTGGTCCATTAAGTGTCACAAAAAGGCAAAAATGTACAATTCCCCAAACCCAAGCTGACATTTTCAAATGACTTGTTTTGAGTAATTAATATAATAGAAGAAAAAGAAAAGCAGCAAACGTCCATGGTAAACAATCAACACATTTTTTAAATACTTTTTTAATTTTCTGTCAATCTACTAAATAATAAATTCATAAATTTCAGTTATTTGAATGTCAGTCTCAAATATCTATTAGTTCTTAAATATCTAAATTTAAATATTTAGTTGAAAGCCAATTGAAAGTCAAACCTTTAAAGATTAAATAAGGGATCTGAAAGGATTAATATTCAGTAAATTTTAAAAAGCAAAGTGTTGCCTTAACAGAATACAAAAAATAAATTAAAAGAATTACAATTATGCATAATGTAGTGTTTGAATTTAGTCCTAGCTGTGTTAAAAGTGTTTGAATGTAATTTAATGTTTATTTAAAATGCTCAGTATAAAAAGCACAGACGTAACACACACTGTTGTTGTGTTCCTGCAGTCAAAGTGGCATCTTTTTAATTTGCAGTCAGTCAGCTGTTTTCATATAAATAAATCACATAAGAAAATAGTTAATCCTGTCTGTCTCATCAGTTGCTTCCCGCCATAGTTCCAACACTTTAGGCGTTCCCACTGACCTGGAGGATTACTGAGTGTGCTGTCCTTCTCTGTGTGGGAACAATCGTCATTTTATAGCAGCTGGTTTTGAGAAAGAGAGCGACCAGAGCTGCTTTAGCAATGGCAACGTTTGTTATTTATCTTGCTTTGAGTCTCTGAAGGTCGGGTTTACAGCAGGTTTACAAAACAAGCAGATAAATACAATTAGTGGTATTGTCTAGAGTATACAAATATTTAAGTATGCTTTGGTCCCAGCTTTCTGTCTTGTATCCTGGCTGTTTTTATTTTATTTTTGAAGCTTTTGCTCAACCACTTAGAGCAGGGGTGCCCAAACATTTTCCTTTGGAGGCCAAAACTGAAACTTAATGGTGGTCCGTGAGCAAAAAGCAAACACCTATTCTACTGTATTGTTAAAAAACCTAAAATGGTACTAGGATGCCGAGTCCCCTTAATTGACTTACTCCCTGTGCAAAGTGTCACAAAGTGCCTGCCATGCTTAGCTTATGAAATATAATGAGTTAGGGATCCTACATATTTGAAAGGGAATGTTTAGCTCACAAAAAATAAAACAGCATAAATAGCCAGGCATATTATAATATTTTAAATTTAATATTTGATTTATTTTTTTCACTAGAAACCAACTTTGAGCCCCATCTTGGGCAGCCCTGACTTGTCCTGCCTCATAAAAATATCTGGTGAAGTAATTGTTAGAAGTGAATTACGAAATAATACGAATAATAATCAAAACATGTGACAACACAGTTCTTCTTGTAAATCCTGTGGTTCTGTGTTCTCTTTGGTTCCTTTTTTTTTTGCAGTTTTGCCAAATACTGCAAAATATAACATAACATTATAAACTAATATTTTCACTCCTAAAAAATGTTAATTGCATTTCTTTTTGGTCAGTCGTTCATCATTTTGCCTATTTTGTTTCTACGTATCACAGGTTGCATATTGATACAGTTTGTGAGCAGTACAACTACAGCATTATTCAAACATTTTTATATTCCACAAGTCACAGTAACAGTAAGAAAAGTCTAAAAAGAGCAATTTTTCTGTCCTGTTAACCATCTCAGATTTATTTTTTTAGATCATGGTTGGAAACCACTGCTGTATGCACACAGGGTTTTTATTGTTTTCACTTTGTAACATTGTTAAGAAAAGTGCAATATAAATAAAGTTAATTACTATTATTATTGTTATTAATATGTACAGTATTACAGATTTTGTATTATACAGAGACAAAGACCCACTGATTCTGTCTCTCTTTCTCTCTCTGTGTCCTTGTCTCTTGTAAATTCACACATCCACAGAAATGATAGCTGTCACCGTCTAAAAATAGAAACAAAGACACTGTACAAAGGATTACTGTAGGAGCCCCACACAACTGTCTCTCTCTTGCTCTCTTGCACTAAGAATAGGAACAAAGAGGTCATTAAGGACATTATATGCACAACACAAAGTAAAAGGTGCCCCCATAAAACCCAAGTATGACTATATAAACCTTCTATTACATTAGATGCAACAGTTTGGCTTCAGTCTGTAAAGATCTTGACTCCTCCTCTATGATTTCCTCAGTGCGGATATTATGTTCACAGCTAAAATGATCAGTCCGTCATTGGATTAGTCTATTATTGAAAGAAAATTATTTGAAACTCTACTGATCATCATCTGATTGTTTAATTTTTTGTTTTCTTTTTTTTTTTTAGGGACAGATTGTGAGGATTTGCTGTTTTTTTGATATAATGAACTGAATATCTCTGAGTTTGGGTCAGATAAAACAAACAATTTGAAGACGTCAGCCTGAGTTTTAGGAAACTGAGAAGCAGAATTTTCTAACATTTTATAGACTGGGAGATTAATTGAGGGAACGACCAGCAGATTAATTGACAATGAAATAGTTGGTAACAGCCTTCAATTGATTCATGGTTTAAGTATTTTTCTTTCCCTGGTTGTCAAATGTGAGGATTTGCTACTTCCCTTTGTCACAGATGATAGTTAACTGAATATCTTCCAGTTTTGGACTTAATTCAATAGTTGTTGTTGAAATAATAAGAAGATCAATCAATTATGAAAATAGAATAGTCGCAACAGGCTGAATTTTGTCTTTACATTAAAATGAGCATTGGTGGTTTTTCCAGCGTGTTTTTGTCTTCAGGGATTTCCTAAATTATCACAGATAATTAGATGATCTCACGGCTCTTGGGTTCATTGGAAACCCCTAGGGACCTACAGACCTCAGGGTGGAACATGCCGGCCTTGTCAATACATACTGTAGCTTTTTGTTATAAGGAACTGATCTGGGGGTGAAAAAGTGTCTGTTCAGACTGGAGACAGTGAAAAAGGATCCTTTTCATGGAGCGTATACAAAGTGGACACATCTACACAGACTTCTACAGAGTCTTTGTCTCTGAATATAAAATATGTATAAGGAGTCTAAACATGGTGGGGTTCATATATAAGCATTAGTCTTAGATCTATAAGAGTCCAGGATAAACTGTGATACGTCTCTAACACTAAACACTCAGTTTGTCAACTTGTGTAAAAGCCAATGGGCAGGGCATTAAATTGTAGAGAGATTGTCAGCCCCAGCAGAACTTGAATTCTACCCAACTTCACTCAATGTACTCTTTCCAAAATACACTGTTAGGAAATGTGACATAAACTGCTAACTCACAGCATCTGCAACCACAGCAAACAAGACAGCTTGTTGTTTATCAGCTCGTTTTTAGCCATCAACAGCCCAGAGGGCATCAGCAACATAACCCCCAAAGAGTCAGAAACACTCTGCAGAAACAAGCACAAAGCGCCCTGCTGTACTGGGAGAGGACACTGATTTGTATTTTTTTGACTTGGGTGCTTTGGGCATTCCATGATGATCCTACCAGGATACATTAACAAGAATGCCCCCATTTGCTATGCAGGCTAGAAGAATAGGCCACTTTGTCTCACAGTTAAGCTGCTAACGTTCTCCGTGGAACTTGCAGACAACAACTGTGATGCTAATGCGAGCAGCTAGATCAAGAGCAACCTGTGGTCTTCTCCACCTCTGATATATTGTCATTATGCAAAAGCTCGGCAAATTACCAACGAAAGACAAACCATGTGTCCTTAAATGGTACATGTTGTGTGTTAAAATTAGCATAACAGTTTAAAACATAGGATCTGACAGTGTCGATTGCTGTTTTATCCACGGCTGTAATAAAAAAAAGCAATATTGACCGATGACGAAACAATGCACCTAAGATTATATGTTGAATTTCATGAAATGATTGCCCTGCACAATGCACACTAAACATGTCATTTGTTAGATTAAAGATTCCAATATGAGCATTTCAATTAAATGTCTTGTTACATCAACTCACAAATCAACCCAAATGAGATATCTGTGTGGCATCTTTGTATACTTTTTGATGAACACTGATCACGAGCTGCACTGAGTGTATAATCCAAAAGAAGAATACTTTGTTCTTTTCATGGCACCATAAATCCTTTGAAAAAAAATGTCTAGAAATAATTTTCTTTTAACCCTTTTAGGAAGTTATTTTACATAAATTTCAAAGCAGTGTTTTTTTTCTCTTAAATATGCCACGAAATGAAAGCAGTGGGGGCTAATTACGAGCATTCTTCACTGAATTAGCGTTCGGTGTGTGGTAAGGCTGTGCTCGCCTTTGTCTTGATCCCTAAACTGATCCCTTACTTATTCCCCAGAAGGTCAGAGGTCACTTGGTTAATTAAGGGTCCAATCAGTCTTTAGATAAACTCATCTGAGCTTAATGTTTGCACTTTTTGAGGTCCAGCAGCTCTGCCTGGTACCCCTGAGCTTTGTGTGGACTCTGCTAATCTACCCACAGACAGGGGAGCAGGTTAACCCAGCTCAACAGCGCCAAGCTTGAACGGCCTTTTCATTTGAGGGCTTCAGTCAATGAAGAATGTCTGTAAGCTCTCGCCAAAGCAGAAAAATTACTCTAACTTGATGTATTGTACACAGGGCGAGGGTTCGGGCTGGGGGCGTCCTAAACCTCTCAAAGAGCAGCAGATTATGGAGAGTAAGTAATGTTTATGCTGCCTGAGGAGGGCAATGTTTTCAATGGATATACTGTATTTGTCCTTCACTGCTGGCCCATGCCACACACATCCAGGGTGATGAAAGTGTGGCTGAGCAAGTAACCATGAAATCTTTGAAAGTGTTGTGGATGGATTTAGTTAAACAAAGATTACTCAATAGCTCCCAGTATATCCGTACAATACTCTACCTAATGACAGATTATACAATTAAAACTTTATAGTGTCCTTTAATTAAAGCTACTCTTTTCCACCGAGGGGTGTGCTTATGATCTACAGTACAAACAGCCTGATAGCAGCTACACTATCTTTCTGAATGTGATATTTTACGAAACAACAATGTCTGAGATAACATTACGCAAATGAACATTAAGTGAAGAAAGGATCTATACCAGTGATGTTGTACAAAAATCTGATTTTTTGGCACTTAGTATTTTAAATTAGTAAATATTACCTAAGAAAGTCGAATACACAAACATGATCATATGTAAGTGTCACATATTCGTTCAAAAGTCAATATACTGAAAAAAACCCACATTTAAATAAATTAAACTTAGTCTTTCTAAGAAAAAAAGGAGAATTGGAAAGTTACTTACACACAAGAATATACAGATATGCATGTGTTCTCATGACCAACTCCACAAACATTTTCATCCCCTTCGCAAAGGAGGTAAAAAGCACATTTACAAACACAAAACAGAGACTGAAAGGACTCACTAAAGTGTTTTTTAAGAAAAACTTAAAAAAACCTAAATCTTCGAATTGTGCAAATCTTTCCAAATCACAAACACTGAGTTTTTTATACCATTCATCACTGAATAATTACCAAAAAACCACCAAAAAAAGAGAATAAAAGTGACCACAAAATAGCAACATCACATAAATTCTGAATAACACATACACATCTTCACCGCCACACAACACAGCCGAACACATTTCTATCAACATTTCATAAGATTACTAACTCTCTATGGAAACACATGAAGAGGACAAACTTACCAAAGTGCCTTGTTAAAATGTACCCTCAAGCACAACGGTCTCTACTCGTACAGAAAATCTTAACAGTCTCCTGTCCCTCGGACTGCCAGGGAATCAAAGCTATGAAAAGATGTGAATCTAGCTGAGCAAATAGGATTAAAGATGGCTAAATCCAAATGGCTGGAAGCACAGCATGCATTAAAGAGGAATTCTCTCGGGAAAGATAATCCCCATATACGCATTTTAACACAGTTCACTCACTCCTGTGCTTTTTTTTTTACACACAGTCATAGTAAAACCACAATTGGCTGACTGTCCACACACACACACACACACGCACACACACACACACCTACACACACACACACACACACACACACACACACACACACACACACACACACACACACACACACGAGTTAATAAACTCTATAAATACAGAGCAGCCTGAACTGTTCAGACTGCAACAATGACACATGCAGCTTCTAATTCCAGAGGTGGAAACTTTATACATATACTGTAATAACTTTGACTAATCACCCATGCATTCATGCTGCCATACTCCCTCTTCCTCCCTGCCATCACAAACTACAACCACGGTTCCTTACCTTGAGCACCTCCATTGGCACCTGTGCAGCAGGCGGTAAACTGGCCGAGACACTGACATTGATGGCAGGGGTCTGAGCCGCCGTGGTTTGTGGGTACTGGGAGGCCTGTTGTCTCTGCTGCTCTCGCCGCTCCTGCTCCTGAAGCTGCTCCCGCATCAGCTGTTGCCTCAGTAGGATGCGTGATGTCATGGCCGAGGAGCTCAGCGGGGGCTTGGAGGAGCCGTGCTGGTCCGACGGGCTGCTGCCGGGGGGGGGGAGAAAGATGCCAGATGAGTGAGCAGAGACAGTGGGGATGTGAAGATAGCGAGAGAAAGCAAAGAGGAGAGGAATTGGAAAGGTGAGGTGAAAAGACAAGAGAGTGATAACAGAGAGAGGGTAGAGAGAGGTCAGACGAGGAAAGAGAGGTCAAGCAAAAGAGACAAGAGGGGAGAAAGATTAGCAGGAGCGGAGAACAGAAGATGAAATAAAAGGTTAATATGAGGATGACTGAAAGGGGCAGAGATCAAAAGGAAAATCTAAACCGTGGAGCTGCAACGATTAGTCGATTAATTGATAAACTGAATGAAAGAAAATGAATCAATTATTGAAATAATCTGTTAAAGATCCCCTCCTGACATTTATTAAGATGTAAACAAACTGCATGGTACAATAATGTGTCTTTATTTTCATATCAAAATCATTAAAAAGGCATCTACTCCTTCTACCTCATTAAAAAGTCCAGAAGCTATGAGTATGCAATTATTAAAAGTGTTTCTGCCGGACACAAGATGTCTCCTACTGTATTTACACGGGTGGCTTCAAGTTTCTACATCACTCTTGTATAAGCTGCATGCTGGACCAGGACTGACTTCCGAATTATTTGGGATGTTACGAATCATGCTTGTAGGTGAGAGAAATCGGATTTGCAATGAGCACAGAGAAACTTTCCACTTTTAGCAGATAATTGTGAAAACATCCTTCTAGTGTCAAACTCTGCACATACATCGTTCTGCAGTGAAGCTCAAACATCCAACTGTAGGAACGAGAAGAAAAACAGATTTTTGGGGGAGGGGGAGTTTAATAATTCAAAGTCCAGCTACTCAGATGTAAGATTTTGTTTATTTTCTTTGCCATTTATGATGTAAATGAAATGTCTTTGGGTTTAGAAAATACTCGAGAAAATACTTGGCGAATGAAAATAATGCACCCCTTCTTTCCTGCAGTTACTATTTTGTTTCTTAAAAAGATAAATGCAACAAATGAATCAACTTCATTGTTATGGCATCAATTAAAATGTTCCACCTGCACTCACAAAGCTGTATTCCATTAGAGAGAATGTAACACAACAAAAAGAGGAACAGTTTTCGTGAAAAAAGGTTGCTTCAATTTTCCCACTCTCTTAAATTTAGACGGCTACTCCCCAGACAGAGTCCTGCAGTCCTAAAATAGAGAGACTCTGCTGAAGCAGAAGTTGTCGGTATAAAGCCTTCATCGAGTGAGTGATCCTTTTGACAAAACTCAGTAAAACGTCTGGCCAATCCAGCTGTGCAGTAATCGCACTAATTAGCCAGTGAAGTCAAACACAGCTTCGGTCGACAGCGTATTCAGTGGGTGTTGAGCCCTCAACATACCATAATTCTCCTCTCCCTCCCCAGCACTGCATATAATCTCATTGTCTGGTACCACACCCACTGAACCCTGCACAAGAGCAAAAATATGCTACGATACAACATAAAACCACTTTTTTTGACCATTATAAATACCAGTGACTTCATCTTATAAGATTACCATAAACTGTCTCACTCACTTCTAAAGGCAATGCTGATGCAGATAAACTGATTATTGATCCCGGATAAATCAATTAACAAGTAGGTTTAATGACTGAATTACAGCAGAACAAAGACTGTAGCTTGTTCTCTGAAAGTACTGCAGCACTTGAGGTCTCTCAATCCGACAGCTACTTTTTTTTCGTCCAGGTCCTTTGTACTTCACCCAATACATAGAATCAGGTTTAGTGTTCATATGCATAATTCCTTTGTCTGTGTGACTTTGGGCGATTGTGTTTCCTTTCATCCCTTAAGTTTCAAACAAAAGTCACTGGATCTAATGTTTTAACAGCTTTTCTTTCTGTTCATTTCCCCTGCTGGAGCTGAATCCTTTGATTTCTTTTCTTTCTTTAACCTGCCTCGCTGTTTGAGTGTTTGAATTTTTGAAAGTTTCATTTCCCTTTCTTCCTCATTTCCAGATGGAATAAACTTTAAAAGTGAACTGATGTTTCCTTTTCACTTTCTAATGTTTTATTTGTTTTGAGTCTTAAAAGTGAACCTGAACTTATCAGTCAACTTGAAGACACTTGAGTGTCAACGTCTCTGTAGAGAAAGCTTCTTTAACAGCTTTACATCTGCTGCCCCTCAAGTTTAAACCAGAGAACACAATAGTTTCACATTCACACATTCTTTGTCACCTCAAACACAACAACAACAATGACGGCCAGGCTTGGGGAGTAACAGATTAAATGTAGTTAGAGTTAAATAATCAGAATAAAAAAAAGGTAACTGTAATCAATTACAATTACATTATAAAATGGGGATTATTAGCAGGATTACAATTTTAAAATCCTTTTTTTTTTAAATGGACGATATATTACCATGCATGTGCACAGTGAAACCATAGCTAATCTTACAGTTGCCAACCCATTATCATGGCCTCCAGTGAAAATACTGCTTTCACTGTGTGACAATTTCTCCATATTTAGTTCTTTCTAACGTTGCATTGCTCTGTTGTCTTACAGAATACACATCATTTTATTTACATTTCTTTTCTCTTCTATTCATTTACACAGGTAATCCAAAACCAAGTTGTTTTACTTTAATATTATGATACCTGGATTAAGTGACTGACATTTTTAACAGTTATTGTATCGAATCCCATTTTTAAAGTAACCCTCCCTTATGCAGTGTAGCAACACTTCCAGGCACCAGAGAGAAAAAGAGAGCAAAGACAGACCTGTTGTCTTTAAACACGTGGACCTTCCACTTAAAGTTCACACTAAAATTATTTAGTTATGGCTAAAAAATCAGACAATATTTGATAGTGTATATATAACTATATACACATATATATACATATTTATATACTTAATGAACTATTGAGTATACAAGTAATGGTACATTACACATTTCCCTTTATGTCGACTTCAGAATGATAATACAAAAGCTATAAATAATGAAGCAGAAATTTTAAACGGGACAGATTACAGCATTGTGAGGCCTTAGAAGGTACTTAGGCCCAACTACTAGATTCTTAAGACAAATAATGATATTAACAGAAATTATACTTACTGTAATGGCAAATAATGCTTAATGCTGGTGAGAAAAGCAGAATTTAAACAAGTGCTTCGTAAAGCCAAGGCGGCTCAGAGAGAATGTTATCCTGAAGCTAAGTAAGTGGGTTTTGTCCTTTGGGCAGAATAAATGTCTGTACAACATTTCATGGCAATCCATCATTTAGTTGTTCAGATATTTCAGTCTGGACCAAAGTGGACAGACTGAGCATGCCATCCCTGGAGCCACTAGCATGGCTTAAACGTGAAAAAGCAAAATCTTTGTAAAGCCAGGGCAACTACATTCAAACTGTGCTGTCACATCTTGAAAATAGCATTTATCTATATATATTTATACAATATTTTAGAAGATATTTGTTTCTTGTTTAACACAAGCAACTTTTTGATGAGAGTCCCTTAAATTATTTTTTTTAAAGAACTGTGACCAACATATGTTCTCACTGTTTACAGTCATAATATAAAGTTGTCAGGGCTCTCTGGTGGACAACACATGTAATGGCGACACTGTTTCTAAATGCCCTCAAACAAATCTGTGATAAGCTAATATCGGCCGATAAAATCAGCCATACTGATGTATCGGTCAGGCTGTACTTCATTTGAAAAGTTAACAATATCAACACCATCAAAGGACTGTAGCTGAAGAGTTTAATTACGCTTGAATAATGACAGGAAATTAATCCTAACATGTGTTGAAATAGAGGAGAATGGTTTATAGCAGAGATCTATTGTGAGTTGTAGCTCCTTATAATTTTCTATAATGCATTCCTGATTATCAGATTGACTTGTGTGTGTGCATGAATGACCAGAAGCCTCTCTGCAAAGCAAAGCTCCACTTCTCTCTCTCTCTCTCTGTTTCTTCCTTTTGGCTGTTTGCTGGCTTTTTACCAAACAGACCACTGAAACACATAAAAAGCTCTTTTGTCCTTTTTAACTTTTTCACTCTGTGTGTGTGTGTGTGCGCGCACCTCCTCTCATGTTTGTGTGTATCTCAAAGAGAAAAAAAAACACAAAAAACAACAATGGCTGCACAGTGTTGAAGAGCCCCACCCACCCAACTCATGATTCCTCTGATTCTGCTCACTACGCTACTCCATCATACTCATTATTAGTCAAACAGTCAGAGCTGAGTCTTTGATGCAGGTTTAAAAGACAGGCAGGCAGGCAGACAGACAGACAGACAACAACAGACATTAATCAAACAGGGAAATTAAACAGCTTTGCGTCCAGACAGAAGAGAAGATAAGCAACAGTGTTCAGTGCAGGTCTGATCTGAGTCAAAACACTGAGTTGTTAAAGGAAAATAATGTGCAGAACAGACACATTGCACCATTAATACTACAGCTGATTGGACCTAATAGCTCTGCCTAATGGACAATAATGGCATAACAAAAACCTCATCTAAAAACTAATAGCATTACATTCAGAAATAATTTATGTTACTATTGTACACAAACATCTTCAAACGCTTCTGTGATTATCTTTTCACCTTCCAAAAGATGAATTATAATATTTAAAGTGACACAAAATCTTTAAACTTTATAAGTTCTCACTTATAAGTTACATACCCATAATCAAGTTCAACAACGCTGATTTGACAAACAACTATTTGGTTTTGATTATTAATCAGAACCAGGCAAAACTATTCAACACAGAAACACTGTACAAGGAGAAATCAGCTGAAGCTATGATTGTATATACTTATCACACATAGCTCTGTGCACACTGTCCTTCATGTGTACATATAGAGTTGTACACACACCAATAGATTCCAAAATCATGCCTTAACGCATGCAAATAATAGCACAGATGCAGAGGTGCCATACTCACAGACGGTCAAATGAGCAGGGTCGGTACACTTGCACTCCTACGGCCTCCATATTTGTTTGTTTTTTTCCTGAAGGTGCACCACCCGCCCTTGGAAAGCAATGAAAGTCATGCTGGTGGTGCAGCGCTGAAAGTGTGTCAGAGGGGGGAGGCTCCGGGGCCCGGCCTGGAATCTCCAATCGCCACACAGAGTCCCAGGCAGAGGACCAGCCCCGTCCAGTGCAACAGCAGAGCAGAGGAGAGGGCAAGCGCCCACTGAACACACTGTCCATCAACACGCTGCTTTAAAACCACACAGATACTGTTTCACTTTGAGACATGTGTTGCCACCGTTAAGCGGACAGCCTACAACCAAGTTTGAGTTTAGAAAGCCAAGAATCTCCAAAAAACAGCTCTGTTTTCATCTTTGTGTGAATGCATTTTTCAGATAATCCAGTTTTAAATCATTTAGCTTTAAGTGCACCTCCACTCAAAAATGTGTTTTGCTTTTTTGTTACTTCACTTGGATATTTGAGCTTAACTGTGCAGAATGGTGTTCGTGCAGAGTTTGATACTAGAAGGCTGTGTGTACATCTGCTGAAGGGTAATGTTTCTCTGAGCTCACATTAAATCAAAATCTAAGACATGTACGTTTGAACAGTGTGTGACATTACAACTAGTTTGGAAGCCACTCCTGGTTCAGTATGCAGATACTAGAAGGCTGTGTACACTGATCTGCTGAAGGGGGAAAGATTCTCCGAACTCACATTAAATCAGAATGTAAGACATGTACATTTGAACAGTGTGTGACATTACAACTAGTTTGGAAGCCACTCGTGGTTCAGTATGCAGATTACATAAGTGTGATGTGGAAAGCTTCCAATACACTGAGAATGGACATTTCAGTGTAATATGAGACATTGAGTGTCTAGTAGAGCTGCAAATATCACATCAATTAGTTGATTGACAGAAAATATATTAGCTTGATGATTTCTAAGCAGAAATGCCAGAACTCTTGCTGGTTCCAGCTTCTTAAATATAAGGATTCGACCCTTTTCACAGTTTCTATCATTGTAAACTGAATAGACTGGCTGTAGGTCTAATGTCTAGTAGTTAAACTTGATGATAATGAAAGGTATTTACATATTCATAGATTCTGGATTTTTCCATGAGGACTGTAACTTTAGGAAATGTCTTGTGGAAAAAACCACATCAGACATAAATTATTATTCAAAGATTATTTTTATATGATTTAAAACGGGAGATCATAAAGAAGTAAGGGGATTTTCTCAACCCATGGAGAAACAGTTAGTCATTCAGTTCATAAGTCAATTATAAGTCAATATCAGTCATATGATTTATACTGGATATTGAGGCTTTCTTTGCTCATTATAGTGTTTAAACTGCAATAATAAGCGATTATAAGGCTGACATGTTCTTCTTCAAGTAGAGAAAAGTCTTCAGCTTTCGGGCAAATCAAGTCTTTTCATATCAGGTTAAATAAACTCTTAGTGAAATACATGGTGATATAAGTATCAATATAATGGTGTAGAAACAACTTGAACACACTGTTTGCATACTGTCGTTTATCAGACCATAAATCAAACTATATCCAGGAATCACTTAAGTCCATACATGAAACAACATTCTCCCACCATGAGCTGCTTGTTCATCTCTTGGCTCAGCTCACTTTCTCTGACATGTTGACAATTCTGTAATTGCTTATTGGGGAAAAAAGTGGGAATACACACTGACTTATGAACATCACACCGCTATAATGGGAGCGCTGTGCAAGAACAGTGAGAAAGGGCAAACTAGTGAGATCTCATGTTAGATGGCAGCCAAGCAACCAGAAAAAACACTGTCCTGCAACTAGCTGCTTGAAGGATCCTCTCCTTTTGTTTGTCTGACTGCAGGTGGCTCATTCACAGATCAGGCCCTCCTCGTAAACTACACGACCTCTTAGCTGGAACACGGCCCGGTGATTATGACCCTACATGACAGTACATTGATCCATTCGGACTCTCCTGCTGATCACAACACCCCAGTGTGCTGCAGCTGGCGTCACCCCCAGAAGGCTGTTAGTAGCAAACAAATCAGCGATAATGGGAAGCATCTGTATGCAGGTCTAGTCCATCAGTTATGTAGGCTTTGCGCCCAGGGGATGCAGTTTAACACAGTTTGAAACAGATTTTTTTTTCTTTTTTAAAGAGGTGAGAAACACAGAGAGGAAAACAACTGTACAAACAGCTACCACTAGGTAAATAGTTGAACCAAGTACACCTGACAGGGCAGAAGCTCTGTATTTACATTGGTGTGACGAGTTAAATACACAGCTTCTGCAAATTATATACTTGGTATATAGGTTGTGGAAAACAACGTCACAGCATCACCAAACAAAACCAACACAGAATAATGTGAAAATATAGAACATGACAGGCAAAACCAATGTTAAAACTTATAGAGCCAAGACAGTAAGTCAAATAATGGATTAGATGATTGACTGAGAATTGAAAACATATACATTTATTAAGTTTAATTAAATGTAAGTAATTTTTTAAAGCAGAAATGTCAAAATTTGTCTGAAGTGATAATTAATTGATTATATTTGGGTTTTCGACATATTAAGTCATCACTTTGGGTTTCAGGAAATGTTATGTTGCATATTTTATACACTCAATCAAGAAAATAATTGGCAGATTCATCGATAATGACATTTCATGAAATAATGTAACTCTAAGTTGCAGCCATACTTGCATAACAGTCTTGTGTAGTGTGATTTACTGTGCAGCACATACAATACCAAACAGATACATTTACATATCTACATTTAGATGTGTTATTGTGTATTCATGAATTGTATGAAGTGTAAAGGAGATAGATAAGCAGACATACAAGTGTGAAAATCACTCTATTGGTTAACACAGCTAAATGTAGATAGATCTCTATATGTTTGATATCATATGTACTGCAAACAGTACACCACACTAAACAAAAGTGTGTGATGGAAGTATTGCAGCAACCTACGATCATTTTCAATGCTAATTCATCTGCCGAGTATTTTCTCGATTAATAGAAAATAGTGAAAATGTCATTTACAATTTCCTAAAACCAAATGTGATATCTTCAATTGTCTTGTTTTCTCTCACAAAGGGTCAAAACTATAAATACAGATATGTACAAAATAGCATATAATCAGAAATTTAAAATGTTATGGTTTCCCACCATCCTCTGCAAAACCTGCCGCTCTGTTAAACTTGTCATTGCCACTTAAACCTAGCCAAGCAATGTTCTCCAAAACAATCACCTTTTCATAAAAAACAAATAAATAAAAGTAAAATAAATGTCACAAATAACATGTAATTGGAGCAAATTCTAATTGGCGTAAACCCCATTTCCCTGCAAATTAACAGTGTTGCTAAAGGGATTCATAGCCGGCCAAAACAAAACAGGGTAAGCTGTTAAAGCATCCAAAGAGATAATCAGGTTCTTTGCATGGTATTTCCGGGAAGCCAAGACCGGTTGGAATAACTCAAACTTGCCGGGTCTTATTTCTGTAATTAGGTTCTGTGCCCTTCATAATTCCCTTCACTTGTTTTCAGCAGGACGGCCTGCTCTAGCTCCTGCTCCCTCTCCTCCCTCTGTGCTCCAACAAGGAGAAAACCAGACCATCCAAGGACAGTCAGGATGAGGATTACATACACTTTCCTACAGCAGGTTGAGTGAGTCCATAAGGTTTTTTAAAGTTCATGTAAATAAGGATGTTGTACAAACACAACAAAGCAGCTCTTCCCTAGACTCTGAAGGCTGGCTTGTTCTCGATTTTCTCCAAGGGTGAAAACAACAACCAACACATTCTCACATTATAATGGAAACCATAACAATGATTCAGAGCTGAAACACTCAGTCATCATTTTTACACACAATAACCTTAAAAAAAATACTTTTGTAACCGAGTATAATTTTTCTTGGGAAAGTGTTATGGAGTTATTTATTTTGCTGAACAGTATAGGTTGTGCAAGCTGTCTTTTCACACAGAACACAATGGTCAGTGTGTCCATATCAAACAATCACAGTATTTTAGAGCTGAAAGAATTAGTCAATGTATCGTTTAAGTGATATTATAACAAAAAGTATCTGGTCTCATCTTCTAAACTGTGAGAATTTGCTGCTTTCAGTGACTCTAGGGTCCTCCTTGGTCAAAAGACGCTTTTTGAAGACGTCACATTGGGCTCTGGGATATTTTAACAGCCATTTTCTTACATTTCATAGACTAAAAAAAGAAATAGCTGAATCAAGAAATATTCTGCAAACTAATCAATAATGAAAATAATTGTTAGTTACAGCCCTACAATGTATTGCATCAGGCATCATTATGAAACTACTGTTCTCGGTAACTTAATCACTTGTGTCAATAACAGGGCACACTGCCTTGTAAGATATGAGGATGTGTAGGAGGTGATGTTTTCAGTGTAGTTGCAGTTCCCACTGGTCACCAACAGAGGCTGACAAAGATCACATATTCCTATTATCAACACTCATGAAGCGAAACAAAACAAAAAAATCCAGCATTTGTGAGGATTTTCCAGTGTAGCAATGTAAAGCGCACATGTGCTACAAACGTTTCTTTATTATTATTATTATATCATTATTTCACAGAAGAGGTTGTCCTGCCAGTTGTCCTGACCGTCTTTTACTCCACCAGCACCTGTCCGTGTCATTTAGCTCTTCGGTCTGTCTTAGATCATAGATGAAACTGTTTGGCCTCTCCGGCATCTCTGTCTGGGACTCCCCAAGGGAACAAGCTGTTACCAACACCGACTTTCATAACCCCCTCTGACTCAGCTTTCCTAAACACGCAGATTACGTTGCCTTTATTTTGATATATTAAACACTCATTCTGAATCGTAATTACAGTCTGTCCCCAGTTTCATGAACACAAATCTTGACACAAGTTTGCAGCCAACACACTATAAAGGTAGAATAACAATGTGTTTGATATTGAAATATGTTCAATATCTTTATAGGTCTGATACCAAGCCAGCCATGTTGAACCTCAGTACTCTTGATTTGTATCTGTAGCAAACTGTATATTTTAAAGTTGTCCTTGAACATTTGATCATATTCTTAGTCTTTTTTCCCTATTCTTTGATCAAATATTTCCAGACTAAAATCATAATTGTGTTCATTTCAAATTGAATATTTTTTAGACAAAACTCTTGCATGGGTCTTCATGTGCACAAGGCATTACACATTATTACACTGGCTTATATTAAATTAAAAAGGTTTTCATAGAAAGACATGTTTATATTCAGCAATGTAAAAGTCTCATTTTCATGCTAATTCAAAACCCCTGTCACCCATTCAATACCTGGGAGAATATGGATCTATAAGAAGTTTTTGAAAAATATCCAGCTACCCCAAGCATTAGAAAGCATAACTGAGGCTCTCAATCTGACTGTTGCATAAATATTTGTAGGTGATTTACATGCTAAGGACGCCTGAAAAAACTGATCCCCCAACTCAGTTGCAGATATAACACATCCACTGCTAAATTTATACAGCTTATTTACACTGCATAGAAGACTAGTTTCACCGCCTGTCTCACATCTATATTAGGCACAAAAAGTCTCGCACATCGTCTGCAGCCGTCTGAGCGCTCCGTCAAACTGATACGGAGACAGCAAAAAAACAAATGACATTTTGTCAAACTTTTTAAATTTAGAAACGTCAGGGGGAGGGTTAGCTATGACAAGACATCACACAAGTTAATAATCAATCAAACTAATTTTATCCATTTTGCGCAACAATGTCTCACAACACAGTCAGCATGACTATTATTATGCTGGGTCATCCTCATGTGATGGGAAGAGGAAGTGGGATACCTTCAATCGAAACAAATGTTCAGACAACTTCACATATTTCAAGGAAAATGACATGAAATCTGTAATTCTACACAACCAGCACAGGCACTTCTCTTAAACTGAAACTGACTGCAAGTACTGCTCTGCCAGCAACAACACAACACAGCTCAGATTCAGCCCATGTATGTGTATCAGTGTAATGACATTTCACTAATGAAGAAATTAGTTTAAAAAATGCCAAACTAGGTTAAAGGTTAGCGGCTGTGCAAGATGA